GCAAATGATTTCGAGTCGTGTCATTCAAAGTCTTTAACCATTAGTTATGATAATCCCAGGGACCACAACCAGGTAGTCTACACCTAAACACATGGTTAAGTCTAACTGTGAATGACTTCATGAACTGATGCCATGTTTTGGTTTGGCCGTCCCTAGTTTATTTCCATTCGATGCCTACAACTAACAACATCGTCCGTCGGGGTAAGCGGTGGTTGGGCATACGCAACACATGTCCTAACTACCTCAGTTGATGAAGACTCACCAGCTTACCAATCGATTTGCCATTCTCACTTAGTACTCTACTGCTAAACCAAGAATTCTGAATTCGTGTCGAGATTTTGTCAAACACTCAACCATCAGGATTGATGAGACTGTTGAAATAAGTGAAGCAGTTGATGCGTCCAACTACTTCACTCCCTATCATCAATTTAAACGCCGACGTGACCCAGTACTAAAGCACCATTCTGCATTTGGAAGAAGACAATCACATCCCAAACATATTTTCATTGTTCCTTAAGGTGGTCAAAAGACTGCATTTTGTCACCGCCTTCACCAAAAAGAACTACATGATCCATGTAATCTAAATCAACAAGTGAATCTTCTAATGAAAGGTCAGACGAATAAAGCGTTATCACTAAAAGCATGTATATGACAACGTTAAATAAGAATAGAGGAGGACAGCCCTGATGAACACCACTTACAGTGACTGATTCCGACGACTGTTACCCAGAAGATCTGATTCGACCAGTAGTGTTTAAGTAGAGTACGGTCTGTACAAGGATAATGTATCTCATTAGCACGCCTTTGAGTGACAAACATTGCCACAGAATCTCACGATCAACAGTCGAATGCTGCCTTAATGTCGATGAAAGCAACTCACGTCGTCGATGTTCTAGAACCTGCCGAAGGCTGAATATTTGTTCTATGCATTCACGTCTAGATCTGAAACTAGCCTGGTTCTCCCAGCATCAGAGTTAGTTTATCAAACTACTGCTCTCCATTGCCTCATATCGCATATATTCTTTACACTCCCATTGAGTTGAAGAACTTATTTCAATTTCCCATGAAGATTGCTTAGAGATGGTGAGTAACTGTAGTGTGGCTGAATGCCAGTTGAACTGTTCCCTAGTGTTTTGCCAATCCATACAATCTTTTACATTTAGAGTGATTAATATTTCCGTTTTTCTTAGTCTCACTAAGTCAGATTCTTAATACCCGTTCCATTGATAAGTCTGAACAGTTGTCTACTGTTACCTATCGCTGTTATCTTTTCTATCTCTACTGCTTTCGCTACATATCTGTGCTCATGATCATCACGTAGGCATTTTACCAACCTATATTTAGGTTGACTTCGCCCTTCATCGTGTTCTGAGCCGGAGGGGATGAGTTTTTTGAGATTCATGGCACCATACTTTTACTGACCAGTGACAATGAAAAAAAAGTTTAAAACCCCAAAACCAACAATAGAAAATTAGATGGGCATGAACGATAGCTCCTCTTCATTTATTTATTTAAACACATAAACATTGATACAAGGAGGCACCAAACAGATATACGCCACATAAATCGTTCGATTTGTGTGAAGGCTAGGATACTTCCCGGGCACCCAGACCGCAGCAGGTGGTTTCCTTAGGAGGTCACACCCGGAGCCTTTGAACTAAAGGCCTAATCCATAAAGCAGTGAAGTAACGTAAAGACATGAATTCTCATGTTAGCCAGTGGCCAATATGTTCATGAGCCATTTGTCCTTCAGAATCCTGGAGCCATTGGTTTGGAGTCATGGTTTTCCAACTCTTCCATATCCACCAACCCGGTTAAAGTGCCAGACATTAACTTTTCGTCCCCTCAATTTCGTAAATGACACCCCGCCGAGAGGAGGCAGTGAGTAGGGCCTCCATGTCAGTGGTTGTATACACGTGGCCATGTGAGAGCACTTAGAGAGGGAGGATTGACTCTGCCCACTTTCGGCCGTACCAGGGCATCTGGGGGTTGTAAAATTTCTTTATCTCGCTTGACAGATATCGATAAATGCAGTACCTATCCTAGCAGCTTAGTCTAGGAGCTACTTGAAAAACGGAAGTAAGTCTGATGAACATCAAATTTATTGATTTAGTAAATGCTTTGGCAGTTTATCAAAATATGCAACAACATTTTTAAGCAATTGCTGGGATCAAAATTGGATGTGATTATTCAAAAAATATAAACAGTAAGATTGGTATACGCAGACTACTACACATGAAACACTACAGTTTTCCGAGTAGTATTATGAGACTCGAAACTAGGTACATTAATCACTGAGTGGTTAACAAGTCGCATTCCATTAATGGTAATTGTAAAGTTGCCTAACACATAAATCAAACTTGGATGAGATAAGCGTAATGTGAGTCACTCAACCAATATAGGACTTGGTACACATGAGTTGGCCTGCTACAATGCCACTACATGATGAAGCCCCCAAATGCCCTGGTACGGCTGAGGGTGGGCAGAGTCAGCTCTTCCTCTCAAAATGCTCTCACATGGCCACGTGTATACAACCACTGACATGGAGGTCCTACTCACTGCCTCCTCTCGGCGGGGGTGTCGTTTACGAAATTGAGGGGACGAAAACCGAATGTTCGGCGCTTTAACCGGGTTGGTGGAAATGTCGAGTCCACGTAGTGGAGTTGGAAAACCACAATTCCAAACCAATGATGCATATGAACTTCAGGGTCATGAAGGAAAAAAAGGCGTATGAACCAATTGTTGATCATTGGCTACCATGGGACTGGATCTCCTAAAGTTGCTCCACTGCCTTATGGAATAGACCTTTAGTTCAAAGACTCGGAGTATGGCCCCCTAAGAAAACAACCTGCTTTGCTCTAAGCACTTTTATGAATCAGGTGTCCATCTTGTTGTGTTTATGAGGTATGGCAACTTGGACCGATGCATAAATGTGCCTGGTCCTACATTGTAGCTGACTAACTGACTGCTCTGAGCACCCGGGCAGTATCAAATGATTTGTGTGGCGCATATGTATTCGGTGCTGCTTCGTACCAATATTTATGTTCAAATAATAATATTATTACATGATGAAATAAAATTGTAATAGAAATAAGGTGAGGAAGAATAAATGATTAATATACAGTTCAGGGAGATGTAGTGGGAACATATATATGAAGGAATATTGGAACTTAAGATCTAGAAAATAAAGAATGTATGTGTCATCGTGACTGAGTTTGAGCAGTCATACAACAGTAGACTAACAGCGCAGAGTCCAACCAAGTGATCTATACTTATTAACACACATAAAACTAGAAATCTATGACTTCATAGACTGAAGCTACATCTCGGCCTGTTCATCTCAAGTTTTACTTACCCTGAAGTCAAGATTATATGTCGAGGTAGGCGATTTGGGCATACATAACAACACATGTGTCAGTTAACTTGGTCGATGAAGAATCATAAACTTATTCCCCGATTTCCCCAGTATAATTCCAGTATTCCTAATACATGGACTTATTATGAGTAAAACCCAGAATAAGAAACAAATTTAGTCCATGACGAGTATAAAATGGGAAATTAAGAATTACATATAAGTTAATATTCATATGGTCATGAGTAAATAAAACTACGCCACTGTGAATGATTTTGAATAACACCGGTCGAGATATTCAGTCACTAAAGATAATTCCCAGGATTTAACGAACAGGTTTACACTTAATAGGATGACTTAGAGCACCAGTCAAAAGCATTATTTTCAGATGCCATGTCTTGTTCGGTGAGACTAGGACTTATGGTAGAAACCAACGAGATTTAAGACGTCAAGTTTTGAATTTCGGAGCAAGAGTGAATCATCATAGTTAAAAAGCATTTAGTCGTCAAAGATGACCTTATTCTGTGACGAAAATGCTAATCACTAACCCCAAATTGTCTGAGTCCTAATTCTATTTCCCCACATTGACATATAGCTTTCAACTAGGAGTAATTGGTTGAATTTTATTGAAGTCATTGTAACATCGCTCAAACGTCACTAATAAATGATAGTCTCACTACTAAAATTTACAACCGACAGATATTGTGGCGGGACCAGGCGGTCAAGATATCACTCAAAATAGGTTTCCCGAGGGAGTTCTGCAAATGAATGGACAAACAAGGATCATTCAAATGAGACCTAGAACAAAAACACACTAACCCCGTATCTTCCACCTAAAACCACAATAAAAATAACATTGACATAAGCTGAACTACCAGTAAGCTGAAAGCTAATCAATTTCAATTCAACTGAATCTGGACGGAATAGAAGCTCTCGCTTAATTGGCTTTTGTATCTAGTAATAGTGGATCACCGAGGCCTTCAGGTATGATTCTTGGTATATTTAACAATAAAAGGAAAAATATTGGTAAAGTATACTGATATCATTGAGTCCTTAAGTATGTCTTTTTTTTCGACTACCTCAACCAGCAATGAATTCTAGATTTTGACCACTTATGAAGATCAGAATGTGTGCCTACAGATCATTCTGCTATGCTGTCTCTAACTTCTGGGTGTTAATCATATGGTTTGTGTTAGGACTGTGCTTATCTAGGTATTTAAGGCGATGTCTTGGAGTCTTTAGGATGCGATAAGCCAGTAGAAGGTCACCTATTAGGCACCTATACTTCTGAAAGGTAAAATACATATTGAGACGCTAGGTGATAAAGGTTAACACAAAGTTCAAAACACATCTGGAAGTGAGATGTGTACACGTCTCAGAATATAACGTTATAACCTGAGCAAAATTCAACACTAATAAAAGTGTAGGAGGCCTTAGGCAATACACGATCGTTGGAAGAAATCCAAACTTAGGATTTAACATTCACAAAACATGAAATGTCTAAGTTGAGGTTTATAGTGATCCACGTGTACTTCATACCTCCTGATGCATTCTCCAACCCTGCATAGAACAGGAGCTATAAGATATCCATTGATTCGCCCCATCGTCAGAGATTTTCTCTGTTTTCGGTTTAGACATATAGGCTCCCATGCTTGTCTATGCAATAGATAACCTCCCTGAAATTGGCGCGTTAAGTTTGAGGGAACTTCGGAAGAGAAAAACACTCTTAAAAATTCATCTTGTTTAATGCGCGATGGACTTTGTAAATTCTTGAGTTTACAAAAGATAATAAAAGCTCGAAAATGTTTAAATGTTCTTAAGTGCATTAATTTCATTCTCCTTGTGAATTAACTTTGATTTCGTGTACTTATTGAATTACAAGCATACCTGGTCAAGTTTAGCTTGAACTGTTTCCGTTGGAGTTTGAAATTTTCTTCAAATTTGTTTTATGTTATCCTTTTTTGTTGATTATCATACCAGTGATTACCTTGTACATTTTGTTGATGCTTTTCCATTATATCCTGTTTAAAATGGACGGCTCTACTTATAAATGTGGACAGTCAAGTTGCTTCTTCCCTATGGAGGAAGGAAGGCAGTGAGATGAGTTCAAAACACCGTTCTACAAGATGTGTACTACTTTATATCCCGCCGCATAAAAACATTTTTGGAATCTAACTCTCATTGCCTGTTGTTTTTGCTGTTCTACTTAGACATTACTGCCCCAAGAGAAACTAGCCTGTAGTGGTAAATGCTTCCCCAAAATAAATAGTTCTGTAAGTCTTCGACATTTGGTGCTAACCACATTATTTCTAGCGGACAGATCTGGCTAAGGGCGCTAAGTTACGCATCCTCACCAAATCACGAGTGGGTACACCGTGCTACACAACCCTTACAATCGCTAGCCAGCTTACACCAAACGCTTCTCAGGACATCGATGATATTCCAAATATATCTTCAAACCCCTTCACTTCTGACTTCTGATTTGACTGGGTTGACATACTTCAATTATAAGTGTTAAGTGCAGAGGCGTTGTCAAACTCCTGATAACTGTGGCATCTTTAGGCCTTCTGACGTTGACCAGAGTGAAATTTGATGAAGAATGAACTGGTAGTGAACTGACAATGAAGAATGTCTCTGTGTAGTACGTGCTGTTACGAGATGTGTCGAACACTTAACTACGAAGCTGACAAAGGTGAAATCTGCTTTGAGACAAATAAAAGGTGAAATATTACTGGATATTGCTGGTCACAGTCCCACAGTATTACCTTAAGACCTAGGTAAAACCGTCACCAACCCAAATAGTTTCGATGTGGCTGTTATGACTGAGGAGAAATGGACGATAATACGGAAAAATTGCAACAAATAGCGCTCATATGGTTAGAAAGTCTTTTGTAGGTACATTCTCGGGATCACATAATACTCCGCTCAAGTCCCATAGTGAGACAACACGTAACCCTATTGTGGTTGTAAAAAGTGTGATCTTGTGGAATTATGGTCTACTATGATATTAGTACTGCTCCAATAATAGACCTAATCCCATTATTGTAGATTTGTCATGATATAACTACCTAATCTATAAGATCTTACGCTGAAGTCACATCATCGTCTACACCAACTCACTACATCGTAACAATTACCAATACATGATGGAGAACAAGCTTAGGCTAGAGATAAGACAATATATTTAATATGAATAAAAGATATAAGGTAACATTCAGCAGGGGCCACGCCCGCATGCCATCCGCTCAACCCCAATTCTTTAGACCCTTTCTTCCAGCCCTCTTCATCGTTGGGTTTTTCTTTGTGTTAAATGTTGAATGTCTATTTCCCACATTGTCTAGTATTAGGGCTCAATGCCACCACAAGATACCTACGGACTGGAAGTATGCAATCGTTACTCCCATACATAAAACAGGATCAAGAAAACTTCCATAAAACTACGGACTTGTCAGCCTCTCTGTTGTCGTAGGTAAGTTACCGGAACTAGTCAAGAAGACCATAATTACATTTGATGAAACCAATAATTTGTTAAACTTGCTGAACGTAAAGCAACATGGTTTTAGAAAGGGTCAATCTTGTACAACGAACCTCCTTATAGCAAGGGAGTTTTGGATAAAGGCGCTAGACAACGGAAACTCAGTGGATGTTGTCTACATAGACTTCAGTAAGGCTTTTGGCAAGGTGCTAACTAATAGACTACCATTGAAGCTGGAAAATTTAGGTACTGCAGAACCTTCACCAATTTGGCTTAAGGATTTACTAGTAGGTCGTAGACAGAAAGTAAGAATAAATTAGAAGTGCTCCATCTGGAGACCAGTGCTTAGTGGAGTACCTCAAGGTTCCGTCCTAAGCCCTTTACTTTTTATACTGTGCAAATGAACTCCCAACTATAGTACAGTCCCCAATGTTATTATACGCTGACGATGTAAAAATCGGGCGAGTGATAACTGGTGACACAGACGCATGTGGTCTTCAGGCAGGCTTAAATATTATGATTTACTGGTCTAAAAAGTGACTGGTGCCTATCAACGAGGAAAAGTGTGTCTACATGCACCTCGGGGATACAAAGGTTAATAGGTACAACATGGGAGAAGTGGCTGTACCCATGGTCCGGTCTAACAATACTCTTGGAGTGAGAGTGAGTCATGATCTTAAGCCCACAGACCACTGCCTGGAGGTTGCAGCTAAGATGTCTAGAACCCTGTAGGCTGAAGATAATCTGCAACCAGAAAAAGAAGTTACGCAAACGGATAAATTAGTGTTTCCGTCTACTAGCCTCCGTTTGCGCGTATAGATGAGTAGATTATAGTGTTGTAGCAGGTCTATACCAGTGATTGGAATAGAAACATCTGCAACAAAAAAGATCCAGTGAATGGGTCTTCGTAAACCCACGTTAAGGTAAACGTACCTCTTGCCATACGTAGCAATAGGCTTTCTGTTTGCCGCCAGTAAGTCTAAAGCCGATTCGTGAAGCCGGTCGTTAGAATTCGCTGGGAGAACGCTAACTTCTGCGCCAGTATCGATGAGGTAGCGAACTCTTGTTGTCACATCTGTGACGTACAACAGACGGCTATGTTCGCCGGCTATTGTTGCCGTAAACGCGTGCCGGCTTGGAAGTTTCCCGAGTTGTTTTTCGAGCCGGTGGGTTTTTAGTTGGGAAAATTGCAAGGTTTTCTGCAATTTCTGGAAGACTCTCCATACTGGTTATGATACCAGCACCAGTTGGGGTTATCCATCTCTCATGGTCTAGAGACAGATCGCTTACGTGAAGTGCTTCCTCACGGGATGTGTGACCGTTTACGGTCATTACGAAATTTAAGATAACGTGTAAGTGTATGACATAACTGTTATGTCATTCTGGGTTGTTTGAGGCTTTTCTTCGACTGAAAAAACCTCCACGTTAGATTTCATGACTTCTAAAATGCGGTTGTCAGATGCAGCTAGCTCGTCTAAGGCGTTGTTTTGAAATGAGACAAGCACAGCTTGCACCTGATGAGGAAGTTTGGATAAGGAAAGTTACTTAAATAGGCAATCATCGAAGGTTGTTCAGCCGATAACCTCTCTCATTCGTTGCAACATGTCCGTCGCAGAACCGTGTTGCAGGTCGATGTTATTTAGGAGTTGGTCTAACCTTTGTCTATCGGTTAGGTCTCCGCATTAAAGAATAGAACGTTTCAGTGTTTCTTAGGGTTCAGAAACATCACTAGTAAACATACTAGGTGTTACGTACCTGTTGAATTCGCGTGGTAGTGCCTTGACTACTGCGAGGAATTGTGCACGTGTGTCGACAACGCCGTGCCCGGAGAAGTCGGCTTCTGCGTAGCAAAACCAGGCTTCGATGTTGTCTGGCCAGAAGGACATCAGTTAAAACGAATGTGGGGACAAAGTCTTAAGCTTAAGTACTTTGGGTGTCTGTTCAGTCATAGTGAAAGATGAAGTACGAGAATGGACGGGGAAAATATATATATATATCCAAACACACGGAAAAATATCACATTGTATAAAAAATTAAGATAAGGCAATGATATATAGAATCCCAAAAAGGAACAGACTCAGTTTACGATTTTGTGTACCAGGTCACGATAGGCTCACCAATGTAGATGGCACAGGTATTCAGTGTTTGAAAACGCTTTAACCAGTAACACCTTCTAATATAACTCGTACCTACCAAGAGAAATCAAAAGATAGAATCGAGAAGATTGGAAGATATATTTGATGACTATCCATATATCGAGAACCGTCCGATCTAATCTGGCTAGCGATTGCAGTAGATGTTGAGCACGGCGTTTCCACTCGTAATCTGGTGCGGATGCATGACCGAGCGCCTTCAGCTAGGTGAGTCCATTAAAACATGTGGTCAGCATCCAATGTCGAAAACTTACAGAGCAATTTATTTTGTTGATTTATTTACCGCTACAGCTTTAAGACGGACGTTCACTAAGCTAGATACTACCATGTTCACCACAGTATACACAACCTTTGTGAAAACGAAGTTTGAGAACTGCATTCCGACTGCAAGCTATTGTTGACTCGGATATCCTGGAAGAAGGACAGAGGGCAGCTGCCCGTGCAACTCCAGAACTCCGGGGTTAACCACACAAAGAACGGCTTGAAAGGCTGGACCTCTTTACACCGTCTTATCGCAGACTACGGGGAGATCTTATTTCGATCAACAGAATACTAAGAAATGATTTTGGACCCATCTTATTCTCTCTTTTTCTTCCCGCTAGATCGGGACACCTCAGAGGACATAGCAGGCGAGTAGAAAAGCCAAGAACGAACAAAATACCCGTGGCATAAAAATTTACATATAGAGTCATCAATAATTGAACCGGTCACCCGTAGAAGTGATGTCCGCTCTTTCAATTAACTCATTCAATTGAAGACTGGACAGTCACAGAAGCATAAGATTGGCCGTAGCCCTTCTGTACTTACTGCGCAAATCCGTATCTGAGTTTCTTTTCCCTCATCAAGTAGTAAATTAATGTAATTCTTTAATATCAACACCTTTTTTCACATTCAAAACCAGATTGAACCTCCACGGTGTTACAAACTGCAAGGACTATTATAAGTCTATAGGCCGCCAATCATTATAACTGAATACTGAAGACTGAATGGCGGGTTGTTCGGACGGTGGTCGCTGACTGCCAAGATTACAAACTGGAGTTGAGTTTATTTCAGGTCGTTACCTGAACAGATTACCTAGCTGTACCAAATTTCTGCATAAGGTAAATGATTCTTTATGATTAAAATGAGGTGTCTCAAGTTAGTTAAGCTTTCAAGTTTCGTTTTGTTGATTAATTCATATATGATTTAATATATGTATAATTATATATACTAATATATCAATTTTGTATTTTCATTCTATATAAGATGAAAGTTTTCTCGAACTACGGACGCATTTTATACTACCCAAGCAACCAGTAAAGGGAAGATAAAGGCTAACATAGGGGAAATAAAGAGGAAAATAGGTTCTAGAATAATAGGGGAACGCGCCTTAATGTCTGCTTTTTCGCCTGTCAGGAGAGATAATGCATATTTTCCCCTTTATGTCTCTGTATTTTAAATGTTGCAGGACTTTACTTTTCACCCAAATACACGCTAACTTGTTTACTTTCCGGCGAAATACACGATAATTTGTCTAATTTTCGCCTATAAACCCGCCGAATAATCTGCTTTTCTCCTAAACACACACCTAATTGTCTACACGCCAAATCATCTACTGTTCGCCTTAGTGCACGACGGTTTACCTAATTTTGCTCCAATTTTTAACGCAATTTTGGCTTAATCCCAAACGTCTCCTGTGTTCGCATTTATTTCCACAACACCTTACGACAAGTGCAGTCGACGTTAAAAAAAGGTACATATCTGAATAAGTTTATTGAGAAGAAAAGAATTTCATATTGTACAACATTATCAGTAGTTGACAAGTGCTAGAGCATCGATTGTTATGTATTTTAATTATATTTGCCAAGTCATATTGTAATTCGGAAAGATCTAAAAAAGAAAGAACAGATTATGTGTTATGAACTGGGCACGTATAGTTAATTACAAGCGCATCTAAAACCAAACAGGCTTCCTCAACATTCACTCAAAGAGTTCCCCATGCAAGTTAGAAAATAAACTCATGTTTTAAAAAAATGCTTATTAAAAACGAGGTTGAGCATAAAAAATATCCCACTGGTTATCCTCTTTTGTAACGCCTGTTAGACTGTTGAGAAGAAAAGTAATCTTAAATAGAGCAATTAAAATATTGGTGCAGAATAATATGAATTCATTTTATTTCGTTAGGTCTCGCAAGACATCTCCTTGATACAGGACATGAAGTTGATATACTAAAGTCCTTCAAGTTGATTAACAAACAATCAAACTCAAACCTTTTGAAATTCGCTGAAGCGTTAGCAATCAAACGTTTAAAACCAGATCTATGTATACAAAAAGAGACAGTAATAATCTTTCTTTACCCTGGTAACAATAACCGCCACCCTTTCTATTCATTTGCTCCTATTTATTTATTTATTTATTGCGTCATTATTGCAACTCTTTCTGAAGTTTAAATTACATCATACATAAATGATTGATTTCAATTCATTTTTCTTTATTACCATTAATCTATTTTCATGAGTTCTAATGACTTTCAATGTTCCAGAACTTTCCCTCTCTAACTTTATTTATTTATTCGAATCAAACATTTTATGAGCTCATTAACTCTATCTGAATCTTTGCTACATCATCATACACATGTATTGATCCTTAGTCACACTCTTATATATAAATATGTCAATATCTGTAATAATTTGAATGTCAAATAATTCAGATTGTAAGCAGCTGATGAGAACCTAACGAAATAAAATGAATTCGTATTATTCTGCACCAATCTTTGTTATTGCTCTATTTAAGATAATAAAGGGAACTATGTGTATGAAAAGTAATCTTCTTGTGAGTTCTGAAATTTTAATTAACACAAAAAATTGAAACGATACCTAACTGCTATTGTTTTTCTAAGCAACTATCTACGTGAAGTTTTACCTACGGTTATGTTCGTTAACACTGGACATTGTACCTGTAGAACGGTAGAGAATAGTTATCATCTCAAATTAGTGCATACATGTTCTTGTTTTTTTCGATGACGCTTTTGTAATTTGTCACATGTGGAAATGCCCTTGCGCCTCGATGTCATACAGTTTCACAAGGTTTTTTTCCGTTGACGGATTATAAAAGAAACCGATTAAGTCATTCTATCCCTAATATCATTTTTCTTCGAAGTGTATACTCTATGATTGGTCGTTCTTACTACTATTGACATTGCTGTAATCTCTAAGCTGTTACGGTGTAGAAAATCTTTCCCGTGCATATTTTTATCAGATTCTTTATTGATTGCAACTAAACAAGAATGGCGTAAGGCACTGGTTTAAGAATTATCCAATATAATGGAGTTTTATTAGTGTCATTATTATTTGTATTTATTTGAGACATTTTTTATTAACTTCAAATAAAATAAAAGTTGAGACATTGGTTTTTTTGTAGACTAATGATTCGTACTGGAAAGTTTCTGTTATTTTGCATCTCTCGCCCATCAGTTCGATGTTTGAGTTCCTTTGAAAGTGCACAAAATCCAGTCAATCTTTATCCAAATTCTGACCCTAACGCTGTTTTCAAGAAACCTACAGAACCAAGTATTGTACGTTCACTGATTTATGTTTAGTGCTTATCATTTTGTAATTGTCTTGTATCATAGAGCCAAAATGTTTTCAATGGATATATCCCTATCGGTATAATTTTTGTGCCCTTGAGTAACACTACATAATTTTTTTGACTAGACGAACTTCAAATATCCTATGCATATTCGAGTGGTCCAGGAGGACAACATGTGAATAGAAGTATGTTTGTTTATATTTTGTGAAATTAATTTTTATATCAATCTTGTGTTATGAGTTTATTCTACGTGACATCAGCATCATTGAAATAACAAAAGTTGGCAACACCCCTAGAAAGGAGTTAGAGATGGATGACTCTAAGAATGTCACACTTCACCTTGTCCAACGGACGTCAGTTCCTGGTTGTAAGGCCTTTTAAAGTGCAGAGCTAACACGCGAAATTCTCACCAAAAGACCGTGCGTGTTCGGCTTCAGATAGTTTCCACTTAGACTCGGTGGTCACGCTCCCAGATTACTAAGACCACCCCTGCCCCAGCGCAAGATAAAACATCGTCTCACGTGGTGACTCCCACAATCGACTCAATGATGAACTTAAATAGACCACATTGCTAGTAGTCATCGTTTTACAGGCTCGATAGGAAGCTATCGCTCATTATGAAGCACATGTTTAGACTCAGATCATGGTCTAGTATGTGCACGCATTTGTTGCGTCCTACTGGATGTAAAAAGCCACAGCAACAAAACATCTTTGAGTTCAAATTACTGATGAGAAAGTCAAGAGTGTGTATTTCATGAACAACTAGAGAAGCAGTCTGTCAACCATGAAAGTGATATCCAGCATGAGGTTGGCTAAATAATCAAAAAGCTGTGAAAACAACAGTGATATGTACCAAAAAACTTAAGCTAAAAGGTTGAGAGAAATCAGTGGAATTAAGCGGCCTTTTCTCAACTGGTAGATGCTCGGGAACTCACACTATCTGGCTCACAACACAAGGAGCGAAATCAACTTAAATATATTTTGGTAAAGAGCCTACGTAATGATCATGAACAGTGGTAGGTAGCGAAAGCGGTAGAGATGGAAAAGATAGCAATGTTACGTAACAATAGGCAACTGTTCAGACTTATCAAGGAAACGGGTATTAAGAATCCAGTTGTTAGTGAGACTCTGAGAAAGATGGGAATACCAACCACCCCTGAGTGTTCTGGTATGGCTGAAGGTGGGGAGAGTCTGCTCTCCATCTCCAAATGCTCTCACATGGACATGCGTAAACAGACACTGACCCGGAAACCCTACTCAGTGCCTTCTCTCGGCTGGGGTGTTGTTTACGAAATTGAGAGGACGAAAAGTGAATGTCCGACGCTTTGACCCGTTTGATAGGTATGGAGGATCTACCTAGAGGAGTTAGAAAACCATGATTCCAAACCAATGGTGCACATCCTAAGGAAAAAAGGCGTACGAACCAATTGTGGGCCATCGGATACCATGGGACTGGATCTAAAGTTCGTGCACTGCCTTATGGATAAGACATTCAGGTCAAAGACTCGGGTAGTGGTTCCTAAGGAAACCATCTGCCTCGGTTTGGACGCCGCTACAGTAGACCCTTGTCGTGTTGCGAATTGCTACAAGTTACTTCTATTACTCTATTACTGTATTACAGTGTAGATGCATTTTTAAAAATGCATTAACATTTGTCACAAGCTTAACTTCGAAATTTGTGTTTTCTTTTCCTTTTCGATACTCTTGATTAGTTTACGCCTTATTCTTACTGGTTGAAGTATAATATACTGATGACCTAGGGCGACTTATCAGCCTATCAGTAAACGTTGCCTAGTTATATAACAATTGGTAAAATATGTTTTATTTACCGCTACAACAGTAAAATAACGGCTTCGATTCGTTGTAGTTGGAGGCGAAGGTCAAGTTTACCGTTGCTACTACCTTGGCGTGGTGGTCGGGCTTGCTTATCATGATGAACCAATCGGCCTATACTGGCTGAAACAATTTTTCCTCAAGGTTCTACCATGCCAGACAGGTCGGTTGAAGAGCGATAAGACTAGATAATGCCTATAAAAATGGCACGTGCCTGTCCTAGTAGAAATATATTATTATCTGTTGCCTGGAGAAAGACGTCTCGACCTTGAGCATGCGGATGATATTCCCTTACTATGTGATGATGAACATGTAATACAATCCGCACTTAATCAGCTGGCAATTAGTTTCCGTAGGTATGGTATGCGATTCGCACCTTCGAAGCGCAAAGTACATCTACAAGACCGGCAGGACCCTGATCCTGCAATCATCCTGGATAGTGAACAGATAGTAGTCGAGAATTTTGTATATCTGGATAGCTTCATAAGTGCTCTCGGTGACGTCAGTGCTGAGACCAATTCACGTATAGTCAAAGCCAAAGCGGTTTATTTCAATCTGGGTCCTCTTTGTTACCGTGATGTTAGTATGGCTGTCAAAGGTCGGATTTACGTGTCGGTGGGAGCAGTTTTGCTCTATGCTTGTGAAACCTGGCCTCTCCAAGTTGAGGTTGCTAGATGACTCTGTGTTTTGTCGTTGTTGTCTTCGAAGGATTACTGACATCTAGTGGCAATATCACGTTAGTAATGAAGATTTTCGGCATCGTGTGTTCGGACACAGCACGATAATTCAGTTGGTTTCACTATCTTGAAATGTCGACTTCGGTGGCTTGTACATATTTTACTTATGTCGTCCCAGAGTATTCCACGTCGTGCATTGTTTGCCACCGCTGAGACTGGTTGGAAAAAGCGGAGTGGTAGTTAGTGTGTGACATGGTTTCGTGGTATGAAAGAAGGCGGTATAGGAGTTTCTTCTGTTGGACTTTCAATACTCGCTGGTTAGGGTCCTAGAAATGTTGCAACACAGTTGCTAGAGATGTTATCATCTATGGCTCAAAATAGAAGCCAGTGGCGATCCTGACATAACTTTCTATTACTTCATAAAACTGAACGTAACTTCTTTAACTGAAAGAATTCTTCCTGGTTGTATTTTTACCAACTGAACTGTTTCTCTCATTTATATTATTATTATTATTATTATTATTATTATTATTATTATTATTATTATTCCACTCTCATACACTGATTTCTGTTTGTTGTTGTTGTTCTTTTATTATACTCATTTTACATTATCTCTTCACATCTTTATTATTATTCTGTGGCGCATGTGCATTTGGTGCCCCTTGTACCAATTTTTATGTGTTAAAATAAGATAAGTAAATCACTCTAAATCTAGGAGATTGTTCAGATGGGCAGAACTTTTTAAAGAACATATAAGAACTTCCGATGGAGAGTGAAAATAAATCAGGTCTAGGTTAAGCAAATGTCTAAGGAACGACTGTGAGCAGTGTTGGGCAACGAAATCAAGAGATGGAAAAGGCGGCGACTTTAGGTAACGCAAAACAACTCTACAGACTAATAAAACAAATGAAATAAAAAGTCAAGTGTAAGTGAGACTATTTCGGAAAAAGACGACACTTTTATCTGCTTCTAGTCCAGACGTTTAGAACGATGGGCGGAACATTTTAAGGAGCAGTTCAGCTGTCCTTCAGCTACTCTAAAACCACACCATTCCCGGACAGCGTGAATAAAACATTGAAGTAGGTCCCTCGACTCTAGCTGAAGTTATAGATCATTGTATTATACTCTTTAAATAACATCTCCAAACACTAATTTTCCTGATTACTGCTTATACTCTTATTACCTCTACTACTACTACTACGGGATTTGAATCGACCACTACATCTGTGTGCTAATGTGGTGTGGCAACTCGAACTGATGTACGTAAGTACGAAGTTCTACGTTGTTACTGACTGAACTGACTGACTGACTCTGGAACGAGGAAGGGCAGCTGGTCCAGATGGATTGACTCCAGGAGTCTTTAAGGATGGTGGTCCAATTTTAGCGATTAGGTTGACCAATATTTTGGCTGAAATCTGGGAGTTAGACGTAATCCCATCTGACGGGTGGCAATAACTTATCGTCCCAATATATAAGGAAGGATCAAAATCATCCTGTAATAACCATAAAGGGATTTGTTTGACTAACATAACATCTAAAATACTAGCATCAATAATTATCGGACGCCTAACTAAGACTCGTGAACTGCGAACACGAGAGAATCAAGCTGGCTTCAGACCTGGTCGTGACTGCATCGACCACATACTCACCATTCGTCAGGTTCTAGAACATAGGCATACTTATCGGTGTCCGACAATGGTGGTCTTTCTTGACTTAAAAGCAGCATTTGACTCTGCAGACCGCGAGATTCTGTGGTAGTGTCTGTCACCGAAAGGCGTACCTCAGAAGTACATAAACCTTGTGAAGGCTCTTTACTCGAACACTACTAGTCGAGTGAGAGCTTACAGCGAACTGTCATCTGAGTTTGCAACCTCAAGTGGTGTCCGTCAAGGCTGTCCTCTTTCTCCATTTTTGTTTAACTTCATCATAGACCTACTGATGGAAATAACATTTTCGTCGACTGAATTCTCGGGTATTGATCTCCTTCCAGGAGGTCCACTTATCGACTTAGAATACGCAGATGACATAGTCCTGTTTGGTGAAGACGCTGATAAAATGCAGAGTCTTTTGGTAGCACTAAGCAACAATGCCAGAGTGTTTGGAATGCGCTTCTCTCCCTCTAAATGCGAATTGTTGCTTCAGGACTGGTCTGCGTCAACACCTGAACTAAGGATAGGGAGTGAAGAAGTTGACCGCGTTGACAACACTTGTATTGGAAGTGTGATCAGCCCTAATGGTTTGGTGTCTGACGAAATCTCAGCACGGACTCGAAAAGTTTGTTTGGCTTTTGCCAACTTACGTCACCTATGGCGAAGGCGAGATATCCGTCTATCAATAAAAGGACGAGTATACTGCGCGGCAGTTCGCGTTGGGTTTAACTTTACGGCTGCGAAACGTGGTCATTAAGAGTAGAAAATATTCGTAAGCTACTAAGTTGACCACAGGTGCCTTAGATATATTGCTCGGATCTGCTGGGATCACCGGGTAAGTAGTAGTGAGGTTAGGTGGAGGGTATTAGGGAATGATGGTAAATCAGTTGATGAGGTTGTGAATCTTCATCGACTGAGATGGTTGGACCACGTGTTGTGTATTCCTGAACACCGATTATCACGACGCGCAATGCTTACTGGTGTAGGGGGTGGTTGGAAGAGAATTAGGATCGGCCAAGCCAAAACGTGACACCAGTGCTTGAAGTCACTAACTTCTGGTCTGTGTCATGTTGGTAGATGCAGACTACTTGGTTGGTGTCCGTGTGACTATGGTAACCAAGGGTTGGAGACTGTGTGTGACATGACTCAGAATCAATCACAATGGTGTAGTTGTATACACTCTCTGTCTTCCCTTAAACTAAGGGATTAAAATCGCTTCATATCTTTCTTTCTACGAACCAATTCTTTCTTTCTGTACTACGTCCTTATTTGCTGAATTAACCACTTCTACGAATTTGATGTTTATGTTGTTGTGCTAATGAGGCATGGCAACTTGGACCGATGCGTATATGTGCCTGGTCCTACGTTGGAGCTGACTGACTGAATAAGAACTTCCACCTAGATTTGATCGAATAGTTTTGCAGTTTTTGGCGCCAAGTCGATGTAATACATTAAGGAGGAAGAATGTATCTGTAAAATCTCAACGAATGAATTTGAAGTAAATCCAACGTTTCTCCTGACAACCTGGTCCAAGCTTTTTAAGGAAGTATAATCAAACTGTGTTGATAAGTGCAAGCTACATGATTAGCGTCCGCAAATTAATCCTTATCATTGATTCAAGATGTTGAATGATATGATTTAGAATCAGTCCCAATGGTGTAGATACGTTCACTCTCTCTCTTCCTCCTAGATTCCGGGTTTTAACATTATCTTTTACTGTTTATTGCATGATTTCATTTTTTCGACTCATATTCTGTATGCCTAATGCTTCATACTACCAGTAATAATGTTGCTACTTCTAATACTTTGGGATTAATCGTGATATTTTTATGTTAGTGTGTTAATATGGTGTGGCAGCCTAGACCGATTTATATACATGGCCAGGCTCTATATAACTTTTGACTGACTGGTCAGATTATATTATCCCTATTTCTCTATGATGTTTTTTAGATAAAACGAAAGTGGAGATACGTTTTCATGTTCCATCAGCGTCATGGATACCAGATCAAGTTAAACAACTATTTATGGAAAGGGTATTTCTTTTATTGCCTATGTTTGTTAATTTGTTTCCACAATTTTTAGGAGGCTAATCGAATTAATAAAGAGAATTACTTCATTATTACATCGGATCATACTAGGAAACAAATATTAAATCAAGCTGATTGTTTAGAACGAATTCGTCGTATAATCAGGGAATGCGTTAACTCATTAAATAAACCTGAACCAAGTCCTGAAACTTTGGAAGCAATTCAATCTCGGTGAGTGCTTTAAGATGATGTAGAATATTGGTAGCTTATGGTTGAAAATTTTGGCGGTTTTCTTTCTGAAATGTATGGCTTAGTCGAATATACCGTCGAGTTTAGAAAAAAAAGCACCAAAATAGTCGTAATGTGTTTGTTTGATAAGTTAAAATAATGTCAACGTCGTTATTTTTTATTCTATATGATAAGACATTCAGTGAAGATTCCATGGCCGAGGTAGTTTGAGTCTGTTGCACAGCTTTTGGTATCGCAATTCATCGAGAGCGTGCCTGCTGCCATTTCCTAACAGCTGAAATTGTTAAGCGCTGCAAAACTCATGGATATCAGTGACCAGACAGTTGATGACCTAAACAATAACTCCGATGGGGTGCGGAAGTCAAGAGATAAGCAGTATCAAGAAAATAGAGGAGCTGAAGCATGAGATTGCCAAAATACAAGTGAATCATAACAGGAATGATAAATGTTACGCTTGTTGAGGAACTGGGCGTTGGAAGAAAAACTGTCAAAAAAGACGAAAACTCAGAGATTTTAGACGATATAATTTGTGTTCTTTCTACATAATGAAACCGAGGGGTTGTTGCACCAGTGGATAGAGGGGCAGTCTATGCTAGAGTAAGCATAAATAAACGAGATTTAGTGTATCTGATTGATACAAGGGCAGCAGTATCGGTAATAGGCGAAGGGCAATGTAAAAGACTTAAACCATGTACATTATCTGTCCACACCATAGGGTTTTGGGAATGTCTAACAGTATCGTAAAAGTTAAGAATCAGGAAGGTGGTCACGAACTACGATTCATTCCTAATGCATGAAAGTAGCGAAGTGGCTGAGATGTAAGTGACAACAAAGTTAATGAGTTGCTCACAAAATATACGAGACTGTTCACGGGAGACGGAGAGCCGTACGGACTTTATGACCAAATGAAGCATGGATTTTTGATAAAAGACGATTGAGTAACTATATTCGCAACATATCGTGTTCCCGTGCATTTGAAGGCTGAGGTAAATCGACAAATCCCGGAGATTTTAAATGAAGGTATAACTGAAGAAGCGGGCAGACCGTACAGCTCGCCAGTCTTCTTTATAAGGGAACCAAATGGGAAGTACAGATCCTGTGTCGACTTTAGGGAACTGAATAACATAACAGAACTGAAATTGTGTGCAATGCCAATAATAGCGGAAATATTAGACCGGTTACAGAGTGCTACAGTGTTTACATTGCTGAATTTGCGGTCAGGTTAATGGCCACTACCTACAAAAGAGAGCGATCGAAAAAAGACATTTACCGTTTGTGATAAGCAGTATTAGTGTAGGCGGATGTCTTTTGGGTTGGTAGGTGCACTGATTACGTTCAGAAGATTAATTACGCTGCTACTCAGGGATCTAGATAACGTCGAGGTGTATGGCGACGATGTAGTTGTGTACAGCCGTACAGACCAAGTAAAGCATGTGGAAGCGGTCCTGAAGTGAATTGAAGGATTCGGACTACGAATTAATAAAAACAAGTCGTATACAGTTAGGGCATAAAGTGGGAAACGGAAAAATAAAACCACTGCCAGAGAAAATTCTAACCATAAAGGACATCGCTACACGTTGGGTAAACACCATGCTTATCGCAGACTAGCGGCACGAACAATGACCGGAGTAGTAGTCCGGTACATTGTGGCGGGTCACGGATTACTGAAGGCGATATTAACCGACCAGGTTCCCTGTTTTGAAAGTGATGAGGTTTAAAGCTTTTCTAGGGCAGTTTAGCATCAAGAGGACACGATTCACACTGTACCCCCCGTAGACGGACGGACTTACAGAAAGAAATACCCGGACATTAAAGAATGGTTAGCTTCTAAAGGAGGGAATTGGGAGACAGAATTACCATTGATATTGCTGGCTCATCGTGCCTCCATATGAGGAACAACCAAGAAGTCACTTCTCCCTGCTGGTGTATGCTAGTCAGCCGCGGCTTCCAATACATAATAAAACCTGGCCACAACAAAGGAAGTGAACGGCAACGAGGTCAAGAAAAGAGAGGAAGGAGGCATTGAGGAACATGAAAAGGAAGCAAATATCAAACAAAAAGAAGGAGGAACAGCAGAAAAAGAAGTGGAAGTTTTTTGCAGCGGGCAGCATGGTTAAATGTAAAGAACGGAAATACACCATAGAAGCGGACCAGGATCAGGGAGGCTGATCCTGAAGTAGGGAGGACCGTACATTTTCACGGGAAGGAGACCATCAGAAGCGCGGAAATGACGGTCAAGTACAGAGATGATTTCAGTGGCATCATGTAGGAGCGTCACGAACACCGACAAAGAAAAGAGCGGTACAACTTTGGAAACGACCGCAGGAACAGCTTATTAAAAGGGGAGATGAGTGTGGTGCATGATACTTATACTGACAGATACATGTAGTATGTAACATCTATCAGAAGTGGAAGGCTTGCCGAAAGAAAGTTGAAAAAAATCGAACTGAAGAAAACAAAAAAAAGGGAACAGAAAGGAATTGTGAAGTAGAAGAATCATGTAGAATGTAACGAACAATTGATGGGAGATTTGCAAATGGAGTATTTAATGTATGGTATGTATGTATGCATTAGATAATAAATTAGTTATCTTCACCTTGTCTTTGTTAACTATAGGTCTAGTTTATGTATACTGACCTTGTCTAAATACATACTTCCGACTTTCGTATATTGATTATACCTATTAGTATGAAGATTGTATTTAAAACTGAACACACCGGTTAGTATTGACAGTAGTGGTAGAAAGATGTAAATCCTCACTTCTGGCTTGTTTGCTTTTATAGTTATAAGCCTGCTCTGTAATATTTTATTATTCGACCGTCAGGACTGATTCGACCATTTTCACAGAACCAAACAAACTAATATGTGCATATTTAGATAATCATATATATATATATATATATATATATATATATATATATATATATATATATATATATATATATATATATATATATATATATATATATATATATATATATATATATATATATATATATATATATATATATATATATATATATATATATATATATATATATATATATAATCAATTGATAACTGAGTAGTGTCCGATGCCATTTTTGTATATTCCTTTAATCGTTATTGAATTCTATCGGTTGAATTGCAATGTCTCGACTATTTTAAGTGATTTTCTATCGTGTACATTATATTTAGATGTTATATGGCTCACAGTATTGTAGTGGGAACCCTGAACCTAAGTTTTTTGCTATTCAACGCACACCAAAAAAGTGTACCTGCAGTTTTCAGGAAACTGGTTCTCTCAGTGGTGTTTTAGCTGCATCAAGCAGCACAAATCAATGTAAGTATTCCACTCCTACAGGCGGTTGATCATGTTTCGAATAACTAAGTGTGTAACATTTCTGACTGTGACATGCGTTCAAATTCCATGGCTAACCCCAATTATACCAAAATTACAGGTGCACCTCTCTGATAAATGTTAGCTAGCACAAAACAAAGAGCGAGTTGGATTTCTTACATACCACCTCCAACAAATTAATATCAAACTAACTTACCATCTGAAATTATTAATTGGTCTATATTGTATGTCATTGTTTTATCTTAACAGTTTTATAAACATAATTCTGACAAATTTTTCTTTGATGTATTTTCTCTTTTTTTTTCACCTGGAAATCTGAAACAGAAAAGTGAAAGCCAACGAAGAAAGATTACGTAAAAAGAAAGAGAAATCATATACAAAACAATTACGACAAGATCATTATCACACTGATTTATTTTGATCCGTTTTTTAGTTTTCTATGGAAGTGTAAATATCACAATTGTTATTATCAATACTATCCCTTATATGTGTTACTGTAAAAATAAATAAGTAGTACACCATATAATTATTGAGTTTTTTTTGCTTTTTTATTAGTTTGCTTGTTGCATATATAAATTTAATTTATATTTCAACATTAAAACTTTAAGGAAAACCACAGGGAAATGCATTTTTAGATATTTTTCATGCAAGAACATGACTATGTGTGATCATTTTATCTACCTTATACACAGGTTTGTGTACTTGGCTTCAGGCTACACTGTAAGTGTGAGGGTTAGTGACTTGTACTGATCAGTTACCTAAACTGAAATAGATGAATATGTGAGGTTTAAATTTGCGACTTCGTAATTGAGAGCGAACACTTAAACCACTGAGTTAATACTTCACCGTTGTGTGAGATAACATATAGATTCGGTTAATTTGGTGTTTAATTGTCTTGAATCTGATTTATTGAATTCCATTAATCACAACTCACGGAAAGTCATCTTGAGTTTATGGATTTTCCAACTTTCCTCTCGAGTTGTTTTTATTTTGTAACCAATTCTTGAGTAGCACTAAGGAATTATATCCAACTAGTTATATGACGAAGTTGTGTTGTTTATAAATCAAACTCATTAACACGTATAAAGTTTTTGTTTGGTTTCTATTTTAAGTGTCTATATAACAATAGGCATTGTTGTTTGGTCTAGTTGTTTCTTTATTTTGATAATTAGGAGAGACCCTATTCATTATTTTATTACGTATGGTAATCAGTTCAGCATTATCAACTTGCGATAACTGCACTCATTAGTTAGAGACATTGAGTGACATGGCTCAGAATCCATATTACTTAATTACTTACTCCTGTTACCCTTTATGGAGGAGCATAGGCCGCTCATCAGCATTCACTATCCAAGCCTGTCCTGGGCAATCCTTTCCAGCTGCTATTCATTCTACTCACATCTGCTTCTAGTTCTCGGCGTAGTGTGTTCTTTGGCCTTCATCTTTTCCGTTTCCCCTCAAGATTCCAAGTTAGCGCTTACCTCGTGATACATTTTGGTGATTTCCTCAATGTGTTTCTTGTCCACGTCCAACGTCTTTTCCTAATTTCCTCCTCAGCAGGAAGTTGGCTTGTTCTCTGTTGCTGGTGGTATCTGACCAACGGACATTGAGTATCTTGAGTAGAAAATTGTATTTAATTACTTGTATCTTTTTGATGATGAGTGCAGTGGTTCTTCAAGTTTCCACTCCGTGCAGTAGGACTGTCTTGACGTTCTTATTAAAGATTCTAACTTTGATATTAGTTGACAGTCGTTTTGAGTTCCATATGTTCTTCAAGTGTAGGAATGCTGCCCTTACTTTACTAATCCTTGCCTTTATGTCTGAATCGGATCCTCCTTGTTTATCGATGATATCGTTCAGGTACGTAAAACTTTCTACCCCTAAGAGCTTCTTTGTCAAATGTGACTGGGTTGATGCTCTATGTGTTATACCTTATGATCTTACTTTTTCCCTTGTGTATGTTAAGGCCCACTGTCACAGAATCTGATACTACACTGTCTGTCTTCCTCTGAATTTGTTGATGTGTATGGGATAAGAAAGCTAGGTCACCTGCGAAGTCCAAATCGTCTAGTTACATCCAAACTGTCTATTTTATTCCATGCTTCCCCTCAGATGTGGAGCTCTTCATAATCTGGTTAACCACTAGAAGAAAAAGAAGGTGGGAGAGTAGAGAGTCTTGTCTGACTCCGGTCTTTACTTGCGATGTGTCTGTCAGCTGTCCTCCATGCACCACTTTGTAGTGTAGTCCGTCGTATGAATTCCGTACGATGTTGACGATTTTCTCAGGTACTTCATAGTTTCGAAGAATTTTCCTTAGTGTTCTATCCACAATGCAAATGCTTTCTTATAGTCAAGAAAGTTGATGTATAGTGACGAGTTGTATTCGGTTGATTGTTCAACGATAATCTGTAATGTCGCGATTTGGTCAGTGCACCACCGATCCTTACGGAATCTAGCCTGTTGGTCTCGAAGTTGGGCGTCTACTGAATCTTCCATCCGGTCCAACAACACTGTTGAATACCTTTCTTGACACTGATAGTAGTGTGATTCCTCTGTAGTTCTCACATTTGCCCAGATTTTCTTTTGGTATCTTGGTGAGGTAACCTTCTTTCTAGTCGTTCGGTACTTGTCCCTCCCCCTAAATCTTCTTGAATAGAAGGTGAAGCATGTTTGCAGTTACTTCCATGTCTGACTTCAGCTGGTATATTGTCATGTCCTGCTGCTTTCCCGCTCTTGATTTGTCTGATGGCCATTCTGATTTCTTCGGTCGTTGGTGGATTGACATCTATAGGAAGGTCTGTGTGTGCTGCTTCCATGTCCGGTGGATTCAGTGGAGCTGGTTTATTCAAAAGTTCCTCGAAGTGTTCTACCCATCTGTTCCCCTGTTCTTGAATCTCTGATTGGCTTGCCTTCTTTGTCTTTGATCGGTCTCTCTGGTTTACTGTCTCCCTGACAGTTTCTTCGTTGTCATATAGTTGTTTCATATTTCCTTATCTTGTAGCTTTTTGTGCCGCCGTTGCTAGATCTTCCATGTATTTCTGCTTGTCGGCTTTAATGCTCTTCTTCACTTGTTTGCTTCTGTGTATTCTGAGTGTGCCTTTGCATTTTCTGTTCTTGTTCGGCTGTTGTTAATTGCTGTCTTGTTCTTCCTTTCTTGAATCTTGTCCAGTGTTTCTATAGAGACCCATTCCTTATGATGATGCTTCTTTCTGATCAGCGCCTCCTGTCACTTTGAAGTTAGTGCTTATTTGATCTCTTTCCAGTTGTCCCCCATCGTAGCTTATTCTTCTTTCAGTTGATCCTGTAAGGCTTGGGACCTGTTATTGAGAGTTATCTTGAATTTGTTGACTTTGTCAGTATATCGAAGGAACGCCGTATTAAACCTTTGTAATACTGCTTGTTCAATTGTCCAGTGCTTCTTTAGCTTCGGTTTCTTCTTGGCAGCCACCAGGTGGTGATCTGAAGCTATGTCAGCTCCACTCCTGGTTCTCACGTCTCCCATTGACCTTGTGAATTTACTACTGATGCAAATATGATCTATCTGGTTCTCCGTGATGTGGTCCGGTTAGATCCCTATTGCTTTGTGTACGCGTTTGTGTGGGAATGTTGTGCAACCTATAGCCAATTTTCACAGATTGAAATCATGAGTCAGTTGAAGCTAGACCACCTCCCAGTCAGTCCATGTCGTTCCATGATATCTTCATACTCGTTGTTGTCTATTCCGACTTTGGCGTTTAGATCTATCAGGTGGTTAGGTTGTTTTCTGGGCACTTCTCTATGATTGATTGCAGCCTCTCATAGAACTGATCTTTATCGTTGTCATTGCTATCGATTGATGGGTGCATAACATTGGATAATATTCACTGTAATTCCCTCCTTTGTTTTGAAAGATTCTTTGATGATCCTGAGTCCATAAGATTCCCATCTCAAATGTGCTTTAAGTGCTTCTTTGGACAGCATCAGAGTAACTCTCTGAGTGCGTGGAGCATTTTCCTCTTCGTGACCAGAGTACAGCAACATTTCTGCCTTACCTAACTTTTTGCTGTTGAGCTTGAGTCCAATGGGTTTCATTGATTCCGAACACCGCCAAGTTGTATCTCCTCATTTCTGTTGCTATGTAACTGTTTCATTAAGTCTCACACATTGTTCGAACGTTCCATGTACTTTTAAAAATTGTCGCTCTGATTGTTAGAAGGGGTATAGGCCTCGTGACTTCCGAAGGTTCTCGGCTTTCAGCATGGGGCCTCATAATTCTTCCTTCAATTCCGAGGATAGAATTTAAATGATTTAATTTGTTTAATCTGACTGGCGTTTTTTTAGCATGGTTGTTTTCTACGAGATGTGGTTGCCGACCCCATGCCCAACCCTCCTCCTTTACCCGGTCTTGGGACCGGCAGTATCCCTAGAAGAGCTACAGTAATATATTACTATATATTCTGCATATAATTACAGAATCGGTCACAGTTATCATTCTTCACATTCCTCTACATTTATTATTCTCATTCTTCCTTCAAACATACTCTTTCAGACTGTCTTTCTTAACCATATTCTCGATGTTTAGTCCTCTTTATCATAACTACCAGAATTATTTCCTCTTCTTTACAAGATAAATGATCCTGCTCGTGTCATCTCCAAAGGAATGCGGTTTGAAATGCATATAAGTTAAATCTATGACATTTGAATATACAGTTAATTGGTTTGTCAATTAAGTATTTAAATGCATAATTATTATCGTCCCACAACCCGGTGATAATGAATCACATCTGTCATATAAAGGTAAGTAATAACTGGTTGCTACGTGATCATTAGTAAAGTGAAATTCAAACATCTTGTAAACTGGTTGTAAATTGTATTCCTAAACGGCTATGCACAGATCTAATAGACTGTAAATTTCAGTGCTATTCTGTACAAACTACAATTAACCACTAACTCATTTACCAGGTACAGATTCAGTTGCCTGACTTTGAACCACACCCACATATATATGAAGGTTAGTGATACTGTAAGGTTGCCTAAACCGAATTGAGTAAAGCGAACAATTCCAACTTGCAACTTGATGATTGAAAGTGAGATGACTTAACTATCAATTCACCGCTACACTGTGATGTAATGCTTGTAATAATTTTTAATAATATTGGTTAATCATTTCCATAATCATCATCTAAACTCTTGTTTGCCTAATCTGTGTTCAGATAGTGAAACTTAGTAATCTTGGAAATGGATACTATTGGTTTTTGATATCTAAATCACTGCTTACATGTTTTCTGTAATTGACATTTAATGTGAATAAGTTCAGTGATTGAGTATTTATAGTGAATATCTGAGTTGATTTATTTCTCACGACCTCAAACCAAATTTTCATTGAATTTGTAATGATATTTAGCTTCAACATTAATTACATATTGATGCGCACTGGTTGGCTTAGAATTCACCATGTTGTGACTTATGCTCAAGACTTTTAAGGTTGCTGTGAATAAATAAGACCGATTAGTTGTTCAGTGTTTTTGTAAAAACGTGGTTTTTAATGGATATAATACGCAGTCTACCCAGTAACTACATTCATTCAGGTCCTTTGAAAACTATTCTATGGAGTTCTGTGTATTTATTTAAAAACATCAACATTTGTACAAAGAGGCACTAAATAGATATGCGCCTATTAAATATTTCAATTTATGTCAGGGCGAGGATACTACTCGGGCGCTCAAACCGCAGCAGGTGGTTTTCTTAGTGGGGTCACTCCCCGAGCATTTGACCTACAGGTCTAATCCACAAGGCAGTAGAGAAACTTTAGATGCAGTCCTATGGTAGTCGGTGACCACCGATTGTTTCATACGCCATTTTCTTCATTAAGATCATGGAGCTCGTGTGCACTATTGGTTTAGAATTGTGGTTTTTCAACTCCCCTAGTTGGATCGTGTGTACACCAACCCAGGTAATTCACTGGACATTCGCTCTGCGTCCTCCATCTCGTAAACAACACTCCCATTGGGAAAAGGAAGTAAGTAGAACTTCTGTGTCAGTGGCTATATACGCGTGTCCATGTGAGAGCATTTGGAATTGGAAAGCGGAATCCTCCGGCTCTCGGCCGTATCAGAGCATTTGGGGACTAAAATCTGTGTGCATCAGTTCTATTCATTACAAGACTTTCCAGCTATCTTTCGTATCTTATTTCAGTTAGATTCATCATTTTCACCAAACTTAGTCCAGCTGCAATCATACAGACGATGAACTGGTAAACTGAATACAAAAAACAACAAGAACACGTCATGCTCCAGTCTATGCCGTAAGTTAGCGGTTTTCCTGGCATTGCATCATCTCTCACTCTACATAGCTCATTGAAACTCTTGATCAGCTGAACATGAATTGCGTTCTTTAATGTATCGCCTACACATAGATAGCCGTCATTTCAGGCATTGTTCTAAGAATTAAACTCAAGTCATATCAACAGTCTTAGTAGCGTACTCTGAGAATTTATTGTTTGACATACTATGTCACTAACTTTTGTACTAATAAGTAAAACTTAAATTTAATACCATATTTATATTTATGTTTAACTTGTTGTTTGATTAACTCTCAATGTTGTCTTTTTTACTTTTATAGAATTCTATCAATGTCTCAATCAAATTCAACTGATAATTCTAATTCTCATAATAATAATGATACAATAAATCAAAACTTAGAAAATCATGAACAATTAATTCATTCTAGATTAGGCAGTATTGTACCAGAATGTGATACAGTTAAAACTGCTTATGATTTATGCTTTCAAGAATTTTTTCCAAATTTTCTAAAAGGTTATACATTTGAAAAAGATCCATGTGAAAAAAAATTGAAAATTTATCAAAATTGCCTACGGGAAGCATTGAAAACTACATTTAATATGGATTTGAATGAATTAGATTCAATAAGAACTGATGCAGAAACAATTAGAAAGATAACAAGTAAAACAAAATAATCTATTCTATTTTATATTTTTCTAATACTTTACACCTTTCTTTTGATCGGATATAGATCTCATAGTTAAGAAAGTAAGAATATTTTTTTTTCGATAAGTGATTAGATTTGTTCGAATTCGAGTGTCATCTATGATACATATCACAGGCAATTTATGTTTATAAATGTTATAATTCTCTCTTACGGTTGTAACCCAACTATTCCTATTGCTTAGTAGTAGTAGTAGTCTTGGACACCAAATCACTCGACAACTTCTCAAATCAGAACACGGTTGAATAGGAAGAGAGATTATATTCTAATCAACGAGGTTAGATGGAAGTAAGAAGCAAGTAAGTAAGTGCAATAGGGAAAACGTTAGTATATTTATAGTTTTTCACATGAGATTTCAAGAGTATTCACTAAGTATTGGCTAACGCTGATTGGATGAGAATTAGCCAATCAGCGTGTATCAAAACAGTCGTGCATTGAGCATGCTTTAATCCAGTCTATGTCCCGCTAACAATAAAGCTTCAAGTTTTATATACTTAATGATTAGATGAAGTCATTTTAATGATGAAATTTGTTATAATTTGTGGCCTATGCGCCCTGTTAATGTATAACGTAAAGAATATCTCCAACTAGAGAGCAGTGACTTACTTATCGATCGGATCAATGACGCGTAAACCCGTATGAACAGTCTAGAGTCCTTATTGGTCCTGCTTTCTGCTTAGCCTAGCCAGTTAAGTCCAGAACACAAATCTCAGTCTGTGGAATGAATCCTTTATTTCAAACATACTGGGTTTATATACCAACCAGACAGACCACAACGTACCATAAAATATGAAACATCATCTGTACAAGAATTAGCCAAATATGGCTGTGAATGAAGGAGATAGTAATTAATAGACAGGACATAACTCAAGAATGGTAAATCGTATAATAATAGTCCGTAGGTCAAAATAAAGCTTGTGATAAGAGGGACATGAATATGAATAGTTCAGTTACATAACAATTATACGATAAAAATATACGTATAATATTGTTCTATAAATGCTACCAAAAGTTACCATTCATTATTCTTATCGGGACATAACAAAATTTCAAACAAGTTATTTAGTGATTAATTGTCTATATTATTAGACTCTGTAGTTGTGATAAGATGATTTAAAATGTGTAATCTGACTGATAGAAAGTCTAAAAATATGTCATTATATTGAGAGTCTATCGAATTCAATGTAAATTTAGTGTGTTTTTGTATAATGAGGAAAGACTTATCAACCTTGAGTATACGGATAATATTGTCTTATTGTGTGATGATACACAAGCTATGCAAATCCCACTTACTTGGTTGGGAATTAGTATATTTACATATGTCATGTGCCTCTCGATTTCTAAATTCAGAGTACTTTTATAAGGTAAGAAGAAGCCGGTGCATGCGCTCACTCTTTGTGCTGAGTTGTCAGAAGTAGTGTGAAATTTCGTGTATCTGTATAGCAGTGTAAGAAATGTTCTGTTGGTGTATTGGATTAAATCAATCAATGTATAATAAGAACCAGAGCAGATTATGCTTGTCTTTGCCACTTTGGAAATGTTTGTCACGATGTTAAAAGTTCGGGACTACATCGCATCAGTAAGAGTAGTTGTGCTTGTGAAACCTAGCCTGTCCGAATTGCGTATGTTTGGAGATTTTGTTTAATAATCGTTATCTCCGAGGTGTTGTTGAAACACTGTAAACAGTACGTCAGTAAACTTGAGGTTAGGAAGTGTGTAATTGGGAAGAGTTACGATAACTTAATTGACATCACCATCGTAATACACAAGCCTTGTTACTTTGGACATCTTTTACGAATGTTATGTTTTTCAATTCCACATCGTGCGTTATTTACCGACATTGGTGTTAATTCTATCGAAGCGTCGAAGTAACCCCGATTGAGATACGCGCAAAATCGAAGTTCCAAAACAACGATTTGTCTACAAAAGCGGTTCTTTATTGAATAATACATAAAATTTAGTTACAAACCTCAACTTGTGAGGTGTCTAGGCGTTTAAACGCGTCCTTCAAGAATGAAAATAGTAAAGGCTTCCTGTAAAGGTAACATAAAGAATGATTACAACATACGATAGTCCAAAGACAGCCGATAGCTGTGTCTAAATTTGATAACAGTTTATGAACAACCGAAACTCGAACCAAGAGCAAACAATATGGACACTGTTGCGTTTAAACAAATGCGTAAAACTGTGGATAACCGTTACAGCAATTAAATTACAGTGATTATAATGATTAATACAATGATAAGTAAATTAAACGTTAAAGATATCTGTGAACATTCCAGAATGTTACAGCACAACTTGAGTTACAACGCAAGTGTGAAAATTGTTGGGCATACAGCTGCCTACTGAATGTAAATAAGTAGTATAAAACAACATACAAAAGAGTAGAAAAGGAACATGTAGGAACAATGTAAAACAAACTTAACAATTGGGACTAAGCGGAAAAAGCGTACTACTTTTCAATCCATGACAGCGTCGCAGTATGGAAGAGATCTGCATACCTAGTTCAGGAAACGACCATTATATTCTCATTTGTTGTTTGTTATTGCTTTCACAAACCAACAACATAATGTTTGAAAATCGAGGCAAATGAACGACATCTGTTGTTCGGACTCTGAAATCGGTCAGATGAAAATATTAGCTGCTTCCAAACTTTTATACATGTTCGTAGAAGTGTTGATTTCAATTTCAAGATAAGTAACGTAATCACTTTGTCTAATAATATGCATATTCTGAAATATCGTATTCCGTGGCTCGCTCCATTGAAACACTCAATTTTATGAAATGAGCTGTCATGATTGAGTCAGTTTATCGACTACGGAAAATACATAAATATTAGAATAACTAGTACACTCTTCGATAAAATCATCAGAAATAAGTGAGCGACTCTTGTATTTTGGCGCGAAATTCCTTCAACGCGTTTGAAATGTATCAGTATATACGGTTAGAGGACACACAGGATGAAGTTGACATTGAAATAGAGTGTTAATTAATGGTGCATACGATATTAAGGAGACAATGTGATTAAATTCATGAGCATCTGCCGATAGCTTTGATAGGTAATTGAAGTTGAGCCACCGAACTCCCTATTAATAATCGAACACAACCCCTATTGGGCCTCTAGTCTTTTATGGACTGCCGGCACCTATTCTGTCATACAAAATCAACATATACGCAACCAACAAATAGCAAATGTAATCAAAATAACACGAATAAGAGCTCCGACGCTGCCAGAATTACCATATTTACACTAAAGAGAATACCTGGTGCATAATTTAAATTTATCGAAAGAGTATCACAGAACATAACACAAAAGTACCAATGATCGAATGTCAGTAATCAATCCCCCAGTTTTATCATAATTCTTTAGTTATATTATGGTGTGTGATAGTGAAAGTAAACGTGACTCGCCACTGAGTGTGTGCACACAGATATGCAGTTTCCTGACCATCAAACATGATTTCCTTTAATCTTACTGATTTTTGCTCCACATCCACTGTGTCGAGTACAGTATTGTCCAGCTCCATTCTTGGTCATGAATCATATATGTGTTATGACGTGGTCTACTATGTGTATAACACATCGACTAGGTATCCAATCTAACTGTATTATAAACTCAATCACCCATAATAATCTTTCATTAAAGTATTATCGTAGTAAACTGCAGAGACAAAAAATATTTTAAGCCATCATATACGATACTGATTAGACACAGAGCACTCTGTCAATTCATCACGTTTATTTATCATATTGAAGACGTAGATGTCGAAAAAACCGCACAAAGTGTAATTCTGTTGAGAATATGCTTGTAGTCAGTCAGTAAGCTTCGAGGTGATTCCCCAGGCTTTGTACATCAATCGCTCGGATAAAGATTATTAAATAAACTCCAACAGTAAATTCAAAAGGCAACACGAAGCTCCGACTACAGTTCAACATTTTATGGCGTAGATCACCGTCACAAAAACACCAAACGATTTCAAGCAGAAGTGCGAATACAGAAGGGAACCAAGAATTGATTTGTTAAGATGTATTTAGGATAGCGAATGATTCACCGATAGGTTTTAAGCTAAAGAGAAGGATATGTGCTCAACGTGTCGCCTGAGTCCAAACGTACATGTTTTGTACAAACATGATAGTAATAATATTGATACAGAGACATAGGTAAATTGTTCAGATAACACTATCTGTCAAAAAAGTGAATAAACGGGCTTGATAAAATTAACCGTAATTAAACTTATTAGCAGTAAAGGTGCTATAATAACCTCCCAACTAGCAAACAAAGTTATGTAAAAAAACAACGTTAAACTGGACAGTACCTATGATACACAGAAAGTATCGTATTAAAGAATAACTTGCTATGATTTTGGATATCGTCCCAGCATGCAATGAATGTACAGTGTAACGCAGTCGGAAGTCACGAATGAAAATTCAACCAGAGCAAGATTCACAGCATAACCTAGTTATTTAATAAAACATACACTATAACATGACAAATCCTATGATTACATTAACGTACACATGACCGATATTACACTGGGCTGTACACTAGGTTTACATGGAAACGTTGGGTCTAAATCTACTCGAATATCGTATTATTAAAAAAACTACCCTGTAAGGTTATATGTGTTTATGTACATCGGTGAGGTCAGATAAAACATCAAAAGTGTGTGGCATCATTTTTATACATATTAGGGGTGAAAATATACAAGATGTGTCGAATTGTATGAAAGATAATGTACGGTTAACGATGCTTGGGTACAAAAAGAAGAGGAATAAATTAATTTATGTTCAAAACCGTGAAATAAATTACTAATGCAAAGTTGTGATTGTATACCATAGCGGTCATTTAACTCTATGACTATATCTCGCCGTCACTAGAGTTTCTTCTGTATTTTTCTTCATATTTATCATTGATGCTTAAGATTCACATTTCAGTGATTCTACAGTTTTTAAAGGATTTGCATTTTTCGATTGATCATCATTTTCAATGAAAGCTGGTTCAACTTGGTCGATACTGATTACATCTATTTTCCTACAGTAATTGCTTTATCAGTCTCCTCGAAACCACGTTAAACGGACCATCATAATTCGATTACACAGGATACTGTACATTATCTTTTCTAAATTCATAAGTGCTATTAAGCAATTGTTGCAGTATGTATATTTGTCATTGCTGATGTCTAGAAAGAGTTATTTCTAAATTATGTATCATGACCAAGGTTTGATTTGATAATTTCGAATAAATTGAGCATTGGGTAGATTTTTATAAATAAATAAATAATATATTTGTAATATCCCAATGAGTAGAAAAATTAGATTTTCTGACGTTTCGTAACTTAGTGTAAGTCACTTCTTCAGAGAATAAATAACCAACTTGGATTAATTTTATTTGGTTATTTATTCTCTGAAGAAGTGACTTACGCTAAGTTACGAAACGTCAGAAAATCTAATTTTTCTACTCATTGGGATATTACAAATATATTATTTATTTATATTTCTAAATTGTTCATATACTTCTTTAGAGGTTTTACGTAGTTAGTTACATCAGTCGGAAAACTTTTACGTACAGTAGTTTCATAAACTAATTCTGCTGGAAACGCTCTCTTACTCTTCAGTAGTTGATAAGTTATTATTTGTTGTAAGAGAACAAATTTTTTGAAATATAAAAGTAGACTTATTTACAAATGTAAAGTGCATATTTATGTATAGAAATTGTAAGTTATCCAATGTATCCCAATTCATCACTTCAAATAATAAACAAAATTAAGTTTCAATAAGTTAGGCTAGCAACATATGTTAATCACTAGAAGAAAAATACAAAAAAAAACAGTAATAATAATAAATTTGATTCACCGTAACATAAAATACATGGAAACAAATGAAACATTAATAATACCAACTATGATTATCATTTCTAGTGAACACATGAGTGCTATTATGCAATCACTGCAGTACAATACTACGTTAAGCCCAGATACCTTATTCTAGCATCTGGACAAGCCAATTTATTCATTCATCTTGAGTCATATTTTGACCTTGTGTACCCCCCTTATCCTATTCATCATCTCTGTAGCTTGTTTTTATGTGACTATAAATATTGATTAATGCTTGATTAAATTGATTTGGCTTACAAGCCATCTCCACTATACGTCATTTTGCTTCGTTCTCTTCTCTTTGTTTCATACCTCTGATTGTCTGTTCAAATCAATAATGTGATTCAAGTCGATGACAATATACGAGAATAGTCAGGATGTATATTTCGACAAAAATCATTCATACGATCTATATGAAGTCAAATTTTGGAGTCACTAATATATATATATATATATATATATATATATATATATATATATATATATACTCATCGTTGCCGTAATCAACTCAAAGAAATATCTTGAATTTTATAATGAACCAATTGAAATGTTTCAATAAAACAAAATAATGATAATAAGTCAGCTGAATAATAAAAATGCATAAAAGCGAACCAAATGGTGTTCAATGATAGTAGGAAATTTAGCGAGAAAGCAATATTTGAAGAAAATCATTATACTTGGTTATTGATACGGTTGAAGTAGGTTTGATGTGACGGTTGATACTACAAGAATATGATATTGCTTAACAGTTAATCTTGGAGTTAATTTGAGAGAATATTAGTTGTATACTTTTTTTTCTGATTAGCGTTTCTGTAGTGAGTTAGTTTTCTACGGGATAGGGTTGCTAACCCCATGCCCAACCCTCCTCCTTCATTCGTGCTTGGGACCGGCAGTAGCCCCAGAGGGGCTCAAGGTGGAGTAACAGTAGTACGTAAGCAAATTAGTTGTATAAAGGAATGATTTATATAGAAAGCCAAGAAATTCCTGAATAATTAACGTTTGGTTTTCGTTATCAATGAAGTTATAGTTAAAAAGGGATAATGCAAGACTTCATACAAATACTTTTGGGACTCCTCGGCAGTGCGCATCCACAATAGGACGAAACGACCGTCCAGTGCTTTCAGACTTTCAATGGTGGTCTAACACCAATCGGTTCAAGATCTCAATCGATAGACAATAATGTAAACTTTAAACTCACATTGTATCATACACTTACAGATTATATAAAGAGAAAACTGTAGAAGGTTCTCATTGTGCAAATTAAAACACGGAAGATAAGTTTGCTTGATAGACGGTAGAAACATAAATTATTGAAGTAAAAACTTAATAGAAACTATCGTTTTTTTATCACTTCGGTGGTTTAGCAAAGATTATTGAATAAGTATAAATGGGAAAGCTGCAGAAAACAAAGTTAAACATTTCAGGACTTCAGAAAAATTGCTTTTACAGTCAGTGAAATTTAATTCATTAATTTTGTTTTGTTTTTTTATTGCATGGTGTACAGATTCTGAGATTGTTGAGTTGCATATTACCTAGAGAAATACTGAAAATCTACAATCCCTAGACAACTGTTTTGTTCTGTGTAGTGCGTATCCACAACTACACCATACATTGAACCTAGGATCTTCAGGTTTAGTAATAAACTCTGCTAAACAATAAAATCACCTGCTTTTGTTATTCTCCTTATTATGAAGTATCTTCATCGTCAATATCTGCATTGAATACATTATAAAAGTTTTGTGTTGTTGTATTCGTGAAACCCATAAATGAATTATCATCCAATAATTCACCACCTCTATCTATAATATTATTACGTTCATCATCATCATCTTCATCAACATCATTAACGACCACATCCACTAAATTATCTAGATCAGTGATGGTACCAGTTACAATACAATCATCATTAATTTGATTATTTATTGTAGCATTATGAATATGTTGAATATTCATAGGATTATCATTAGTAGAATTTGCAATTAATTCAGTAACAACAGAAGCTTGTAAATCATCATCATCAACACTATCAGCTTGTTCATCACCGGAATCAGATAGTAAAAGTTCCGCAGCCAATTCATCTTTAAGATTATCAACAGGAATGATAGAAGTAGTAGCAGAAATAACATCATTAACGAGATCGTTAGTTGTTGAAGTGATAGTGGTAGATTTTAGTTTGTTATATACAGTTTCTGAAGTTGATTGATTAGTCTAATAATGAAAATGGAAAAAGAATTAGAACATATATTATTAGAATGTTATTACTGAGTACCTTCGTTAATCAATTCACTCATTTCTGAATGTACAAAACAGACTGTCGTTATGTTGTTATTACTGTTAAATATCACGTAACAAGATCGATAATCAGGATATCAACTTCCGCGGCCTTGGCACCGTGCCAAACCACTGAAGTGTCGGCCAGTACGAGCAGCCTAGAATCAACTTTAAGTCCCCATTGGTTCTACACGCTTACCCCTGTCCGTTCGAGTCCAGAACACAATCTCAGCTTCCACTGTATGAATCATATGTCTCAAACAGACTGGGTTTATAAACAAGCGAATCATAAAGTAGAAAAATAGCAACTGTACAAGACCAAGCCGAATGTGGTTGAGTGTAAGAGACAGTAACCAATACATTTAGAATAACTTGAGAAGAGTAATTCCTATAGCAGTAGTCAATATATAACTGGAAGCTTATTATGAAAGGAATGTGAATATATATATATATATATATATATATATATATATATATATATATATATATATATATATATATAATCCAGTTACTTAATAGTTATCCAATAAGCATATATGTATAATATCAGTCTAGAAATAGATCCTCAGTCAGCTACAATGTAAGACCGGGTACGTATGTTCATCGGTCCAAGTTGCCATACCTCGTTAACACAATAAGATAAACACCAAATTCATAAGAGTGGTTAACTCAGTGGTGGTAATATATAAAAGAAAGATTGCAGATAAGGACATTGTACAGGAAGAAAGAATTAGTTCGTAGAAAGAAACATATGAAGCGATTTTAATCTCATAGTTCAAGGGAAGACAGAGAGTTTATATACCGACACTACTGTGATCGATTCTGAGCCATGTCACACACAGTCCCCAACCATTGGTCACCATAGTCACACGCACAAATTGATGAACTCTTTATGCCTATGGAAATTACCTTTCTCGCTTTGAAAAACAAACAATTGATTCAGATTATTATCATTACAATTATTGTCATTATTAATACTATTATTATTATTACTACTATTATTGTCATTATTATTATTATTATTATTATTATTATTATTATTATTATTATTATTATTTTCCACATTATTCACCCTCTTTTATACTTATACAGCGGCTCGTCTTTGGTGGAAATCCGACTGTATCTAAACGTTCTCGAGTCACTGTCCGGTTGAAAATTGTATGTTACCACCGAATACGAGGACTGAAGCAGATTTTCTGAAACCACGTGCACCATTCAAACTGGCTGCCTTCAACGTTCGCACATTTATGCAGGTCGGACAACAGATAGGGCTGGCTATGTCTTTGGAAAGTCTTAATATTGATGTTTGTTGTCTATCCGAGACCCGTATTCAAGACTCTGGCGAAGTACTACAAATTCGATCTCCATCTGTCGCTTCGAAAAGCTTGTTTTACGTGCGCTTATCCGGGGACCCTGTGGCATCTTCGTCTGGTCTTGCTGGCGTTGGTGTCGCACTAAGCGCTAGAGCTGAGGCAGCACTAGTCGATTGGATCCCCATTAACAGTCGGTTATGTGCTGTTAGATTAGAAAGTTCCATCAAAGTGAGAAGAAATCGGCGTGAGAAACGATGTCTTTTCGTCATCTCCGCCTATGCCCCGACAGATTGCAGCCCGGATGCAATCAAGGATGAGTTTTACCACCAGTTATCTGTTCTCCAGAAAGTGCGTTCGACAGATATTGTAGTACTAGCCGGAGACTTGAATGCTCAGGTCGGGCGTCTAGGCACAGAAGAGAGTCGTTTAGGTGGCCGATGGGGACTCGTTGGTCGCAGGTCAGATAACGGGGACCGTCTACTGCAACTTTGCACAGACCACAACCTGTTTCTGGCTAGCACTAACTTTCGGCACAGTCATCGCCGATGTGCCACCTGGCGTCCTCCCTCTGCATCTCAAGCCTGGACTCAGATTGATCACATCGCGATCAGCTACCGCTGGCGTGGTTGTGTAAAGACTGCCGCTCCTTTTGGAGTACCTATCTGGACTCTGACCATGCCTTGGTCTGCGCCAATCTTGCCTTACTTTTCAGTGGACAACGAAGTGACCGCCATCAACGGATTGATGTTAGCAAGCTGGTTGCAACTTCTGTTGCAAGTAAGTATCGAACCGAGCTAGCCTCTAGGCTAGCTACCACTCCACCGAAAAGTATAGATGAGCATTGGTTGCAATTGCATGACGCCATGAAAATGGCGGGAACAGTCAGTTGTGGGTTTGCGAAACGTCCCGCTTTTAAGCACTGGGTTTCTTCTGGTTCCTTACAACTCATTGAAGCCCGTCGGTCTACTCCGGGTGACCGTGAGTTTGACCATAAACGAAGGATGTTACGTAAGGAAATTGGGCAAAGCTTGCGTAAGGACCGAGAAGCCTGGTGGTCGATGCGTGCTAATGAGCTGGAAGCAGCAGCTGCATCTGGTAACTACCGGAAGCTCTTCCAGCTCATCCGAGCCACTGGCAGCAAGAAGTCTGGTGTGAGTGAAACAATCTGCGAGGATGATGGGATGCCAATCACTAACATCCATCGACGTCTTGGACGATGGGCAGAATTTTTCGAAGGGCAGTTCAACTGGCCTGCTGCTCCGGCAACATCGGTCAGACTGTCCTGCCCTCCATGGCCGGTGACGACTGATCCACCAAACGAGGAGGAAGTCCGCAAGGAACTCCAACTCTTGAAGCGTTACAAATCACCTGGCCCAGATGACTTACCTCCGGCTCTTTTTAAAGATGGTGGTGACTTTTTGACTAAGGAATTGACGACGTTGTTTACAAAGGTTTGGGAACTAGAGAGTGTACCAACGTCATGGAATGAGTCGATAGTTGTCCCTATCTTTAAAAAGGGTTCACGTCGTTCCTGTAACAACTATCGGGGGATAAGTCTACTTCCGATTGCGTCCAAGCTATTGGCTTCCGTCATACTTCGTAGGTTGTTCAAAACCCGAGAAAGATTGACTCGCGAGGAGCAGGCTGGGTTTCGTTCTGGTCGAGGATGTATTGATCATATCTTCACCCTCCGCCAAATGTTAGAACACCGCCATACTTATCAAAGGCCAACAATCGTAGTGTTTCTTGACATCAGGGCTGCCTTCGATTCGTTGGACAGGACTGTTCTCTGGGATTGTCTATTGAAGAAGGGTGTGCCTGAGAAGTTTATTAACATCCTAAAAGCCCTATATAAAAACACCTCAGGCAGAGTGAGGGCATACAACCACCTCTCTCCATTGTTCCATTCGAGCAGTGGGGTTAGGCAGGGTTGCCCAATCTCACCATTCCTCTTCAACTTTGCCATCGATGACATTCTGGAAACAGCTCTGATGAATGTAAGTAATGGTGGTGTGGATCTGTTGCCTGGAGAAAGACTTCTCGACCTTGAGTATGCGGACGATATTGTCTTACTGTGCGATAATGCCCAAGGCATGCAATCCGCACTTAATCAGTTGGCAATCAGTGTCCGTAGGTATGGTATGTGCTTTGCACCTTCGAAGTGCAAAGTACTTCTACAAGACTGGCAGGATTCTAATCCTGTACTCACCCTGGATGGTGAGCAGATAGACGTAGTCGAGAAGTTCGTGTATCTGGGTAGCTGCATAAGTGCTGGTGGGGGTGTGAGTGATGAGATCAATGCACGTATAGTGAAAGCCAGAGCGGCTTATGCCAATCTGGGCCACCTTTGGCGCCTTCGTGATGTTAGTCTGGCTGTAAAAGGTCGGATCTACAACGCGTCGGTGAGAGCAGTTTTGCTCTATGCTTGTGAAACCTGGCCTCTCCGAGTTGAGGACGTTAGACGACTCTCTGTGTTCGATCATCGCTGTCTCCGAAGGATTGCTGACATTCAGTGGCAACACCATGTCAGTAATGCAGAGGTTCGGCATCGTGTGTTCGGGCACAGAGATGATAATCAATTGGTGTCACCATCTTGAAACACCGACTTCGGTGGCTTGGACATGTTCTCCGAATGTCGTCCCAGAGAATTCCACGTCGTGCATTATTTGCCGACTCTGGGACTGGTTGGAAGAAGCGGAGAGGTGGTCAGTGCATGACATGGTGTCGTGGCATGAAAGAAAGCTGCAAAGGACTGGCTTGTGTTGGTCCTTCACGACTCCCTGGTTGGGGTCTGAGAGATGGTGCTACACAGTGGCTAGAGACGTTATCAGATATGGCTCAGAATAGAAGCCAGTGGCGATCCTGCTGTAACCTTCTTTTACTTTCTTCATAAAAAGTGGTTGTGTCTCCCTTACCTGAAAGATTTCTTCCGATTGTACCTTTGCGTTCCCTGATTACTACCACATTACCTTACACCAATCTCTTCGTTATTGTTCTCTCTTTTTTTGTTGCGCTCCTTAGCTTTTTTTTTATTTTTCTCGAATTTCATTGTTTTGTGTGGCGCATATATATTGGCGCTCTCTTGTACCAATATTCATGTGTCCAAATAAAATAAAATAAAATAATGAAGTTTAATTCATATTTGTATAGGTTGTTTGGATCTTATCATTGATGTTTAGGACTGTAACTGAACAGTCTCTTATTGGTATATATGCGTTCTGTGACATAAAAATTGTTTAATTAGCTTTAAACCATATTCCATTCCTAGTTCTAAGTATAAAATCGGTTAATTTTATTCTTGTACAGTATCAAATGATTTGCAATCATACAAGATAAGGTTTTGTAACAGACCTATAATAGTACCAATGCACCTATTGTAAACTTGAATAGATTTATAAAACACGCAAAAATTAAATGTAATTTTCACAGCTTTTGACTTAGGTTGTAATCATTTATCCATATGTATAAAAAATACAGTCATAAAAAACATATTTCTTACACATAATAGAAAATTTTCCGAAACTTACTACTAAAGAATTATTATCAGTAGTTTGATTTTGTGCAGATGATTGATTATAATCTTTTAATTTGCCATCACCAACAACAGTGTGCTCATCATTATCACTAGGATGATCATTACTTCCAAGTCTTTCCCTTCCTCCACCTCCTTCGTGACGATGACGACGACGGTCAGCACCGCCACCACCTCCATTACCGCGATGACTGCTACTACTACTGTTGTCGTCACTATCACTTGAAGAACCAATACTGCTACTGCTTATTTCCCCGAATACATCACGATGATCTATTGCATATGCTCGTCCACCTGGAATGATAATTAATTTGTTTAATGAAATTAAAGATACATTATTTTATAAACTGAAGTGTCATTCAAAAAAGATTTACAGATTAGCAAGAATTCGTGAATTCCTGTTGACGAAATTCAAGGCTGTAGTCGATCAGTTTTTGTTGTTCTAGAAGACACGCGTCGGATGAAAGCTTTTGATTGTAGGTGTCTTCGAGGCATTTTTATGTTCCGTGGGATGACTGGGTGAACAATCTTAACGTTGAGTATAGGGGGCTAATCAATTGATGAGGTAGCGAATCTTCACCGACAAGTTATGCTTGCTAGTGCAGGAGAAGGTTAGAGGAGATATGGAAGTGTATCTTCGAAACGCGATCACAAGATCCGAGTAAAGTCATTCATTTGACCTCACTTTATCAATATAAAAAACAGGCGTGATTTACACTTCGTGTATATGAAGTCTCACTACTACTTCCCGAGACCTCGCACGTGTAGGTGTATAGCACTAAATTAAAAAACGGAACAGGCTAACCTGGGATGAATTCTAAAAGATAGTCGCTTCCAAGGTGTCTGAATGAAGTGAACGACAAAAGCTCTAGAGAATGGGAACACAAACTGTTAATACTTCATTGTCTCCGCCCTTGTTCCTACTGTTTCAGGTTTACATGAAGTAACAGAAGAATCTCATCGGTACTTTTCAACCCTCCTAAAAAAGCTAAACGCTCAGATGCAGCAATAGTGGGTGACTTTAATCCTCAAGTCGATAGTTTAAACCAAATTAAAAGGCATTAAAGTGGGTCCTACGGCGTTAAGTCAGCCAACACCAAACTCAGAATGTTCAAAACAAATGTAAATACATTATATGTGAAAATTATATTTGAAATATTCTCAGCGATTGAAATTTAACTAATTCCAACGTTTCGTCCAGCTAACTTGTCTGGACTGAAGAAGTCCAGACAAGTTAGCTGGACGAAACGTTGGAATTAGTTAAATTTCAATCGCTGAGAATATTTCAAATATAATTTTCACATATAATGACTTCTCTATACTCGGCGCTCAATTACTGTCAAACTATTCGTTCTAATCTTGACGAATATTCGTATAAATGTAAATACAGTTCTACTATATGGAGCTGAAACTTGGAGAACATAAAAAACATATAGTTTCTGTGAGTGGGACATTTATAAGGAGAGAAGGATGTCCCACTGTTTGGCCTCTTGTCTAACTGTTTTCATGGCCAATCTGGAAAATACGGTATAGTTTTGGTGATTAGAACTTTTGTAAAGAGAGAAGTAACATTCAATGAGATCATTTTTCTACCATTTACATTGGTAATTCTAATTGAGCCGACAAAGTTAAATGAATAAAGAGAGTTGTATCTATTGATATAAATAACTCTCCGTATCATTTGATTGATAAATGGTTAACTGAAATTTTACAACCCGTCAGAAACCACGGTACTTCGACCAATAATTGAGAGATTTCATTTATGCAAGAGATACATGGATGTTATTTTAATTGTTTGTAAAGCAGATATGGACCTCAATGAGATTTTGGATAGTTTCAATCATTATCACCACTCAATTCAATTCACGTTGGAAGCAGAAGCCAACGATAAATTTCATTTTCTTGATGTTCAATCGGAACGAAGGTCAGATGGTTTTTTACAGGGATCCATATACAGAAAACCGATCTGGAATGGGAAGCATACGAATTTCCATAGTTCACTATTTACCTCAACGATTAGGCGAATATATTCTACTGACACAATAGATGACGAACTACTTCAACTTCAACAGACACTTATCAGAAATGTTTATCCACCTAGATTCGTCGACAGGAACTTAGTACCTAGACAGCATCTTGAAAAACACCAACAGTTCAAAAGAAAACTTTATGAATATCGAATTTAAAGGAGATACGGGTGCTAAAATCTTGAATAAACAGATCTCAAAATCCCTGAACGAAACGTTCTATTCAGCTAAGCTCCACATTATTTTCTCAAGCCGGTCTATCATTCACGGATGTGTTAAAGATAAACTTCTGCTTTGGGTCACATTAATGTGCATCTATAAATTTACTTGCTCTTGTGGAGTAGGTTACATTGGCCGCAAAAACCGATCATTTTCTAAACGCATCTTAGAACATTATCCGGCGTGGTTTTTGAAAGTGGATAACAAAACAGTTATCAGTTCAACCTAACTAATTGTACTTCACTTACCGGTTTAGAATATCTTATCAATTTTAGTTAGACAAACTTTATAGTCACAACTGAATGCTTGCCTATTTTTTGATAAACATAAATATTTTAAATTAGAAACTAAATAATTGAAAGTGTAAATATGAAACTCTACAATCAAGTACAGACTATATATATTGTTGTGTGAATAAGAGACAGTAGAGGTGATTCAAATTTGATAGTTAGTCTATCCTTTAAACTGAAGTAGGAGATGGATAGAGATTCTAACCTCCCGTCGCTAATATTAAAGGATTACCAGAGATGATTTGTTGAAAGGCATCAAGGTTGTACTATAAGTCAATGTAAATGTGGTTGTAAGACTAAGACCAGAAAGAATGAATGGATTGATTATTCGAGTCACAGGTTAATGTAAGCACCAAAACTATCTAAATCGTTTGTTTAGATAAGTTTGTATCCTTGAATGCCCTGGTACGATCGAGAGTGGGAGGAGTCCACTCTCCATCTCCAAATGCTCTTACATGGACACGCGTATACAGCCACTAACACAGAAGTTCTACTTACTGCCTTCTCCCAATGGGAGTGTTGTTTACGAAATTGAGGATACAAAGTGAATGTCCAGTGATTTACCCGGGTTGGTGAACACAGAATCCAACTAGGGGAGTTGAAAAACCACAATTCTAAACCAACGGTACACATGAGCTCCAAGATCCTAAGGAAACAAACAGGATATAAAACAATCGGTGGTCACTGACTACCATGGGACTGCATCTCCTAAAGTTTCTCTATTGCCTTGTGGATTGAACCTGTAGGTCAAAAACTCGGAAAGTTCCCCCCCCCTAAGGAGACCATTTACTTCGGTTTGAACGCCTGAACAGTATCCTAGCCCTGACACAAATCGGATCATTTGTGAGGCGCATATCTATTTGGTTCCTCCTCCTACCAATGTTCGTGTTTAAATAAATAGATCGTTTGTATTCAAATAAATACCATCATTTGATAACGAAACTACCTATACACTTCCTTATTATGCTTAATTTATGCTTACAAAAACGAATCAGAGACTTTGTTTTGAACCTTAAAACACATAACAGCTTAATTAGAATTTATAAAAAAGTTTTGGAATTATATTAAAAACAATTTACTATGTTTAGTATATGACTGACAGCAGAGTCTAGGATACATCTTTTGTTCTCTTTTAAACTGAACAACACCTGCTTATATCCTAATGTTGATGTTAACATTGAAACTCAAATCTGAGTCCTTATTACTTCAAACTCCAAAATTGCATTATCCACAAAGTTACTGAACTCCGGTTAGCTCTTATTAACTTAGTCTTTCAACACATATGAAATTCTAAACATACCGTCTTCATCTTCTTCCTCTTCTAATTCATCATCAGCTGTACGTTGTTGATTGCCTAATTGAACATTATTACAACTATCGGTTTCATTATTAGATAGACTTGACTTATTGTTATTTCCATTCGATCGTATTACAGGCGCAGGTGGATCAGTCCATATAACTTCCCATCTAGAAAAGATGTATAAATCCGAAGTGAAAACAAAGCTTATATTTGTACAACATAAAGTCTGATATATTTGTTGTATTTCTAGAATGGCGGAGTGGTATATATATACTTGAATCTCTGAATTTGCCTCTGTATCCGTTTTCTCGTGCTTATTAGCTTTTCTGTTCCAAGTTGCTTGGTGTGTTTGTAGGTTTGTCATCTGCGCTAGACAATGATAAACCGTAGTCGGCGCTTCACGTTGCCAGCTGAATTCATACAGCATTCGTATTTATTTAATAACGGTTATTATGGTAATCAACTCCGCCTGTAGCTCTAATAGGGTTACTGCCGGTCCCAAGCCCGGGTAAAGGAGGAGGGTTGGGCATGGGGTTAGCGTCCCCATCCCGTAGAAAACTAACTCGCTAAAAAAACGCTTACCAGAAAAAATTATTCAAACCATTTAAACTCTGCCCTGGGAGTTAGAAGGTCTTCAGTTAGAAGAATTATGACGCTTCATGGTGAAAGCCGAGTTCCTTCGGAAGCCACGAGGCCGATGCCCCTTCTAACAACCAGAGCAAAAATTTTTATAGGTACATGGAACGTTCGAACAATGTGGGAAACCGGGAAGACCAGTCAAATAGCAATGGAAATGAGGAGATACAACTTAGCAGTACTGGGAATCAGCGAAACCCACTGGACCCAAGCTGGACAGAAAAGGCTAGCTACGGGAGAGATGCTGCTATACTCCGGTCACGAGGAGGACAATGCTCCACACACTCAGGGAGTCGCTCTTATGCTGTCCAAAGTAGCACGAAATGCACTTGTAGGATGGGAGTCTCACGGATCCAGAATCATCAAAGCATCATTCAAAACAAAGAAGGAGGGGATCTTAATGAATATTATCCAATGTTATGCACCCACCAATGATAGCAACGACGACATTAAAGATCAGTTCTACGAGCGGCTACAGTCAATCATTGAGAAATGCCAAGAAAGGACCTAACTATTCTGATGGGAGATCTAAATGCCAAAGTCGGAATAGACAACACCGGATATGAAGATATCATGGGACGACATGGACTGGGACAGAGAAACGAAAATGGAGAAAGATTTGCAAATCTATGTGCATTCAACAAATTGGTCATAGGAGGCACAATATTTCCACACAAGCGTATACACAAGGCTACATGGATCTCACCGGACCACACTACAGAGAACCAAATAGATCATATTTGCATCAACAAAAAATTCCGAAGGACAATGGAAGATGTAAGAACCAGGAGAGGTGCTGACGTAGCTTCAGATCACCACCTAGTTGTAGCCAATTTAAAACTGAAGCTTAAAAAGAACTGGACAAGTGGACCAACAGCACTACAAAGGTTCAATACAGCCTTCCTTCGAGATACTGACAAACTCAATGAATTCAAGATAGCTCTCAACAACAGGTTCCAAGCCTTACAAGATCTACTGAAAGAAGAAGAAACTAGTATGGAGGACAACTGGAAAGGCATCAAGGAAGCATTAACTTCAACGTGTCAAGAGGTTCTGGGCCTAAAGAAACACCATCATAAGGAATGGATCTCTATAGAAACACTGGACAAGATCAAAGAAAGGAAGAACAAGAAGGCAGCAATTAACAACAGCCGAACACGAGCAGAGAAAGTTCAAGCACAAGCTGAATACATAGAAGCAAACAAACAAGTGAAGAGGTGCATTAGAGCCGACAAGAAGAAATACGTGGAAGAACTAGCAACGACGGCAGAAAAAGCTGCTAGAGAAGGAAATATGAAACAGCTTTACGATACAACGAAGAAACTAGCAGGGAAATACAGTAAACCAGAGAGGCCGGTCAAAGACAAAGAAGGCAAGCCAATCACCGAAATTCAACATCAGCGTAACAGATGGGTGGAATACTTCGAGGAACTCCTGAATAGGCCGGCTCCAATGAATCCACCGGACATCGAAGCAGCACACATAGATCTTCCTATAGATGTCAACCCACCAACGACGGAAGAAATTAGAATGGCCGTCAGACAAATCAAGAACGGGAAAGCAGCAGGACCCGACAACATACCAGCTGAAGCACTGAAATCAGACATCGAAGCAACCACAAGCATGCTATACCTTCTATTCAAAAAGATTTGGGAGGAGGAACAAGTGCCAATGGACTGGAAAGAAGGACACCTCGTCAAGATTCCAAAGAAAGGAGATCTGAGCAAATGTGAAAACTACAGAGGCATTACACTACTGTCAATACCAGGGAAAGTCTTCAACAGAGTGTTGCTGAACCGTATGAAGGATGCAGTAGACGCCCAACTTCGAGATCAACAAGCTGGATTCCGTAAGGATCGGTCGTGCACAGACCAAATTGCAACACTACGGACCTGTTATAACGTGAAAATGATCTGCTGATTAAGGGTAGCGAATTATTGATCGGACCAAAGACGCACAAACACGTAGAACGACCTAGGGCTCTGATTGGTCTCGCTTCCCTATCTAACCCAGCCAGTTGAGTCCAGAACACAAGTTTCAGCCTCAGATTTATGAATCATATTTCAAACATACTTTGTTTATATACCAGTCAAGCAGACCACAACGTCCCATAAAATAGAAAATAACATTGTACAATACTGGCCAGTAGGAAAATGACACGTTAAACAAATATTCACCAATAAGATGATATCATTTCATGTCCAAGGATAACATTAGGTTTAACAGGATAATTCTTGGGATACTTTCCTGAATATCCCAACACCTCCCTTTTTTGGAGATACGGAGTTGATGTCCGGATTTTAAATTTCTTCCGCGTCTATCCCCCCCCCGCGAAATAATGTTGGGTCTTCATAAACCCAAATTACAATTAATTTGATTGTATTTAAAACATATTGCACAGGGAATCCAGTAAATCGATCAGATATTGAGGATAAACGCCATCCAATTTGAAGTCATCAGGGTTTAAATCTTTAGTAAGTAGTGGATCATTATGATAATCGGCGTCCAACAAAACTGTACCAGGTTCTTGGTTATTATTTGATGCGTGGAACACATTTTCTGGCAAAACAATGAGACCTCGTGAGCTGGATATGTTACTGTCTCCACATGCTGTTTCGGGGATGATAGAGTTTGACTCCATTACCGGGCATGTTTCTGGAATAGAAAGTACTGGACCACTGGGCGCATCATGGATGACTGTTTCGTTTGAAGTACAGTTCATCAAGGATTCAAGTAGGCTGCTGTCATTTTCCAGCTCACTGTGTATTTGAGATATCAATCCATCCACTTCCGTCGCGTCTTCATAGCATGAGTGATTTAGCAGCTGCGTGCGGAATTTGACTAATAAGTCCAAATGTCGTTCAAAGAGCAGCTGTAATCGATCGGAAGGGAGAGTCATTTTTTCGAATCAGCACCTGTGATGAAAATTACTGTATGACTAATGACCAATGTGGTTCAAGGACACTGATGACAATTTGGATACTGATTGGTTAAATAATTAGACTGGATTTCGTCCAATTACAGAATGACTTTGGATTGTATCTTTTCTTCACCCCGTCGCCAATTGTTATAACATGAAAATGATCTGCTGATTAAGGGTAGCGAATTATTGATCGCTAGTATGGGGTTGTGGAGACTATTAAGTTTTTTTTTAATTGAGATCTTGAACCAATTGATGTTAGACCATCACAATTGAAAACCCGGAAGCACTGGACGGCCGTTTCGTCCTATTGTGGGACTCCTCAGCAGTGCGCATCCACGATCCCGCGAGCGGGATTCGAACCCAGGGCCTTCGGTCTCGCGCGCGAACGCTTAACCAACTGGACCACTGAGCCGGCATCCAATGGTGATAGTTTTCTAACATCAACCAATCCACGAAATTGCGCACTGCTGAGGAGTCCCACAATAGGACGAAACGGCCGTCCAGTGCTTCCGGGTTTTCAATTGTGATGGTCTAACATCAATTGGTTCAAGATCTCAATTAAAACTTAATAGTCTCCACAACCCCATACTAGTAATCAACATGTGCTCACTAGTGACTAGCTTCGTGAGGGAATTCTCGGAGTTCTAGTGAGAAGCCGTGACCAGTGGAGCTAATCCTTGTCGGGTAGAGACAGTTATCTACTTAAAGACAATGGAAGTGGGTCGCGCAATTTCGTGGATTGGTTGATGTTAGAAACTATCACCATTGGATGCCGGCTCAGTGGTCCAGTTGGTTAAGCGTTCGCGCGCGAGACCGAAGGCCCTGGGTTCGAATCCCGCTCGCGGGATCGTGCATGCGCACTGCTGAGGAGTCCCACAATAGGACGAAACGGCCGTCCAGTGCTTCCGGGTTTTCAATTGTGATGGTCTAACATCAATTGGTTCAAGATCTCAATTAAAAAAAAAATTATTGATCGGACCAAAGACGCACAAACACGTAGAACGACCTAGGGCTCTGATTGGTCTCGCTTCCCTATCTAACCCAGCCAGTTGAGTCCAGAACACAAGTTTCAGCCTCAGATTTATGAATCATATTTCAAACATACTTTGTTTATATACCAGTCAAGCAGACCACAACGTCCCATAAAATAGAAAATAACATTGTACAATACTGGCCAGTAGGAAAATGACACGTTAAACAAATATTCACCAATAAGATGATATCATTTCATGTCCAAGGATAACATTAGGCTTAACAGGATAATTCTTGGGATATTTTCCTGAATATCCCAACAGGACCATCGTCGAACAATCAGTCGAGTGGAACTCATCACTATACATCAACTTCATTGATTATGAAAAGGCATTCGACAGTGTAGATAGGAGGACATTATGGAAACTTATTCGACACTACGGAGTTCCTGAGAAGATTGTCAACATTATCCGGAACTCATACGACGGACTACAGTGCAAAGTAGTGCATGGACGACAGCTGACAGATGCATTCCAAGTAAGGACTGGAGTCAGACAAGGCTGTTTACTCTCTCCCTTCCTCTTTCTTCTGGTGGTCGACTGGATTATGAAGACCTCGACATCTGAAGGAAAACACGGAATACAATGGACAGCTCAGAACCAATTAGACGATCTGGACTTCGCAGATGACCTAGCTCTTATATTACGTACACACGAACAGATGCAGATGAAGACAGCCAGTGTAGCAGCAGTCTCTGCATCAGTAGGCCTCAGCATACACAAAGGGAAAACCAAGATCCTCAAATTCAACACGCAGAACAGCAATCAAATCACTCTTGATGGCGAAACTCTGGAAGATGTAGAGTCCTTCACATACCTAGGAAGCATCATCGATGAACAAGGAGGTTCAGATGCAGACGTAAAGGCGAGGATCGGCAAAGCAAGGGTCGCATTCCTACAATTGAAGAACATATGGAACTCAAAACAACTTTCAACCAATATCAAAGTCAGAATCTTCAATACGAACGTCAAGGCAGTTCTACTGTATGGAGCTGAAACTTGGAGAACTACAACAACCACCATCAAGAAAGTACAAGTATTTATAAATAGCTGCCTACGCAAGATACTCAACATCCACTGGCCGGATACCATCAGCAATAGCCTTCTGTGGGAGAGAACAAACCAACTTCCAGCTGAAGAAGAAATTAGGAAAAGACGATGGAAATGGATAGGACATACATTACGCAAACCGTCAAACTGCATCACGAGGCAAGCCCTAACTTGGAACCCTGAAGGGAGGCGAAAAAGAGGAAGGCCAAAGAACACATTGCGTCGGATTATAGAAGCAGATATGAAAAGGATGAATTACAACTGGACGGAGCTAGAAAGGATTGCCCAGGACAGAGTTGGATGGAGAATGCTGGTGAGTGGCCTATGCTCCTTCACGAGGAGTAACAGGCGTAAGTAAGTATTATGGTAATCGATATACGAAGCCTAAGGAATTACCTGTATGCCAAGCCACTGCAAGTTATCTTAACTTAAGCAAATCTATCTACGTTACATCTTTAACTGAACTGTATCTCTTATCGGACTATTTCTGTTTGTTAATTTGTTGACTGCAAATCCCTCTCTCCTTTATTTCTTCATTTATGTGATGCATTTTTCTGTCGCAGTATTGTACCAGAAATTATGTGTATTAAATAAAAATAGAAAATTTGTTGCTGTTTGAAGAGTGGACGCTATTTAGTAGCGCACACAGATGTATGACATTACAAATGATCGAATCCAATATCTTTAGGTCGATAAAAGGTTTAACTATTTAAATTGTTGTGAAGGAATGCTTGAATGTGTATCATCACAGAGACTGGAGAAATGACGTTTATAATAGGTGCTTTGTTTATAGCTTCATAGTCTTTCTTCTTCTTACAGTTGCTTAAATAAGATTCATTTATGATGAAAATCAGTATTACTAAACCAAAATTCAATTATTTGCAATGATCATAGAAGACAGATTATTATCATCATTGGTAGTAGTGTAGATTTGAATTATTCACTGTTAACCATAATTCCTCTCTGTTCTGTAAAAGTTGTAACCAAATAGTTACGCTATAAAAATCCACATATGATGACTACATGTGAACAAAAACTGGTTGAAATCCTATTCTGAATTACAACAACAGAATACTTCAAATCTATATTGTAAACATCATACACGTTGGACGCATTCATCACTATTTGCACTCAGTAGCTCAGTGGTTAACAACACGTCGGGCGTTTCAAAGGAAAAGATAGCAGGATGTAGTATCAATGTGACAATTATTCATTTATTTATTTGAACATACAAATATTGGTACAAAGAGGCACCGAATATATATGCGCCACATAAGTCACGTGATTTGTGTGCGGAATGTGATACTGCACCGGGTGCCAGACAGAAGCAGTTGGTTTCCTTAGGGGCCCCCGACCTAAAGGTCTAATCCATAATGCACTGGAGCAACGTCGGGAGATGCAGTCTCATGGCAGCCAATGACCAGCAATTGGTTCGTACGCCATTTGTTCCCTCAGGATATGAATAGGAACATTGGGACACAAGTACATTCAGCTGATAAGTCCCAAGTAGGATGAAACGCACGTCCTATATTACACTGTCAGCCATAGTCAATTTATTCTATATGGTGAAAATAAGTAGAACTTCATTTAGCCCTACTGAGATTAGTATCATATACACTGATAGGTTACAAGAAAAAGAAAAGAAAAATAGAACAGAATAGAATATATAGAAGGTAAACATCTTACTTTACATTAACAGCTTGTAAATCAGCTCTCAGTAGTTGTTTGACTTCTTTCTCAATTTTAGGCATATCAACAAAACGTTTTCTACGCGTTTTACGAAATCGACGATGTAAGACATTTTTTAATGGTGGTGTTATCCCATGAAGAAATTGAAATTCTCGATTTTCATGACTAATAATTAAAATATGAGATGAAATGGAGTATATTGCGGTGGAATTAGTAAAATAAGGAGACCGGGGCGGGGAAATGGAGAGAAATACATTTGAGCATTAAAAATATCTAAATGATAATGATTACAATTAACAGGTCGTATTATACATATCAAGAACTACTCAAATGTTAGAATAACAGTCAATCATAATCAACATAGGGCCTGGAATGGATTTGCGCAAGGTATTATACCTTACACCAATACAATGAGAAGTAGAATTAACAAGACGACAAGAAAACATTAGCTATGAACAACAAATAATGTAGAATTTGGGACAAATATGCGTTAGCCTAATTTGTCATATCACATTAACACGACAAGATAAATTCACAAAATGAACAGCAAATGAGTCAAAATAGTAGTAGTGATAATAATGAAAAAGACTAAACATTGAGAATATGGTCCGAAGAAACGAAGTGGAAAGATATGCGTGAAGGAATACTGGGACTCAAAATTTAAAGGAAGATAAATAGTGAAGGCATCTACATTATTTTGATCGATTTTAGGAACTCCACTCGATGTTCCTAATCAGTGATCGCTGTTATTACGTGTACACTAGTTACATATTTCGAAACCAGAACCCTGACTCAGAATAACAGTCGATGACTTCATAGACAAAAGCTATATCTTGATTTGGTCACCCTTAACTTCCTTTCAACTTACTTCTATGCTGCAGAAGGAAAGGATAAGAATTAAGTTCATCTGTGTTGGAGACTGAAACAGGAGGAATACATTTTCCCTCAGAAACAAGTGGGAGTGAGGGATAAAAACTTACAAACAACACCTAATTTATAAAGAATACAACTACGACCAATTTCGCTGCATGTTATTTAACTAACAAATAGCAGATCCCAGTTTGTAGTCTACTATTTACTCTACTAGTTAACCTTTATACAATAATTTTGGTTCGAATTTTAATACGGGAGTGTGTACGTATGGTTAATGAATTGTATCATTAGTGAGTATGCAGAGAGATTTATCAGCACTCTTCCACAATAATAACAAAAACTCAAATTTATTAAACAAATCAGTTGTGTGAACGAGGTAACCTCGAGTACAGTTAGAGGGATGAGGATGGTTATCACTTCCCTGTTACTTACATTATGGCGACATAATTCCTTTGGAAAAACCTGAAAAGGAAAATGGGTTAGGGATGCCTTGACGAGCTGAAAGCGTGACCACAGAGTCTAATGCTTAATACACATGTCCAGCGATTACCTACTTTGACCTACAATATTATCCAGAAAACGAGTAAGTTAAAAAGTTGGGACAACTAAGCTACTAAGATACGACGTGACATTATAAAGTCAGTCAGTCAGTCAGTCAGGACCAGGCACATACATGCATCGGTCCAAGTTGCCATACCGCATTAGCACAATAAGATAAACACCAAATTCATAGGAGTAGTTAAGTCAATGGTGGTAATATATATGAAAGAAAGATTGCAATAAGGATATAGTACAGGAAGAAAGAATTGGTTCGTAGAAAGAAAGGTATAAAGTAGTTTTAATCTCACAGTATAATGGAAGACAAAGAGTGTATATACCGACACCATTGTGATCGATTCTGAGTCATGTCACACACAGTCTCCAACCACTGGTTACCATAGTCACACGGACACCAACCAAGTACTCTGCATCTACCAACATGGCCCAGATTAGAAGTTAGTGACTTCAAGCACTGATGCCATGTTTTGGTTTGGCCGCTCCTAATTCTATTCCAACCACCCCTTACACCAGTCAGTTTTGCACGTCGTGATAATCGGTGTTCAGGCATACGTAACACGTGGCCCAACCATCTCAGTTGATGAAGATTCACAACCTCATCAACTGATTTACCACCATTCCCTAATACCCTGCGTCTAACCTCACTATAACTTACCCGGTGATCCCAGCAGATGCGAGCAATATATCTAAGGCATCTGTGGTCAAATACTAGTAGCTTACGAGTATCTTCTACTCTTAATGACCACGTTTCGCGGCCGTCAATTGAAACAGAACGCGAACTGTCGTGCAGTTTACTCGTCCTTTAATTGATAGACGGATATCTCGCCTTCGCCATAGGTGACGTAAGTTGGCAAAAGCCAAACAAACTTTTCGAGTCCGTGCTGAGATTTTGTCACACACCAACCCATTAGGACTGATCACACTTCCAATATAAGTGGAGTTATCGACGCGTCCAACTACTTCACTCCCTATCCTTAGTTCAGGTGTTGACGCAGACCAGTCCTGAAGCAACAACTTGCATCTAGAGGGAGAGAAGCGCATTCCAAACATTCTGGCATTGTTGCTTAGTGCTACCAGAAGACTTTGCATTTTATCAGCGTCTTCACCAAACAGGACTATGTCATCTTCGTATTCTAAGTCGATAAGTGGACCACCTGGAAGGAGATCAATACCCGAGAATTCAGTAGACAAGAATGTTATTCCCATCAGTAAGTTTATGATGAAGTTAAACAAAAATGGAGAAATTGGACAGCCTTGACGGCACCACTTGAGGTTGCAAAGCAGATGACAGTTCGCCATAAGCTCTAAATTGACTAGTAGTGTTCGAGTAGAGAGCCTTTACAAAGTTTATGTACGTCTGTGGTACGCCTTTCAATGACAGACACTGCCACAGAATCTTGTGGTCTACGGAGTCAAATGGGAAAAGTGAGAACTCGGGATCGAGGTACGAAGCTGTGCTAAATCTCATGATGTTTATGACTAACCAATTGACTATAATCGAGTAACCACTAGTTTGTCAATATTCTAACGTCCAAACCAGTCAGTCATACGCAACGTATAATCTGACATAAGTGTACATCTATTCAACTTCTCATTAGCCCGTTAGCACAGTGAGATGAAATAGGGAAAATCATAGAGTAGTAAAGGTAGTAATAGAATGACTTATTATGGAAAAGGTTAGGTATGTAAGATACAGTTTTAGATAATATAAATTAGAGAAACAAAAAATATTCGCAAGGAATTTGAAAACTTAAGATTTAATGGAAGACGTGGTGAGTCGTTGTGAACGATTTTGAGCCATGTCGACTCGTGTCTAACCACCTGTCACGATAATCTTGCGGACCCCAACTAGGTAGTCTGCATCTACCTATATAGTCCAGTCCAACGCTCAGTGTCTTCATGGACTAATTCCATCTCTTAGTTTGGCCGCCTCAAGCTTTATTCAAGCCTACTTTCACACCACTCATCATCGCGCATCAAAGCAGTCAGTAAAGGAGGTACGTAATAAATCGCCCAACCATCCAGTAGATAGGGTCTCATTATTTCGTCAATCGGCCCACCATTCTTAGTTTGTACTCTGAGTCTAACCTCAAAATCGTTAAACTAACCGTTCCATAAAAATATATACGAGAAATGGTCCGAAGACGCCTATGGTTATACTACGGACCTATGAATAACCTCTTTTTTAGTGGATAATCTTCAGACCGATAAAGTAGGATGGAGTGAATCGCAACAACACATTAGTTCATTAGTTGGTAAACATATATCGCGTCTACACTATAAGTGACGCTAGTTGGTAAAAGCCAACTGAGCTTCTTGAAATATCTATTTAAAACAAATGAAATATTCTTTGAGTAGATAGTACGGTGACTTTGTGAGGTTGTAAAATCTTGATACGCTAGACTAACTAGACATTCCAGTTTAAGGCCAAATGGAAAGTGAGAGATAATTACGAATGTAACCTACTGGTCAATACTTGATTTAGCTTCTGATTGAGAATCTGGTTTAATTTCTGAGGATGACAGATATATAGGCAGTCTGGGCAATCATATAGTAAGCGTGTATATCAGCCGCAAACTCGGACGACCATAGAACATTATAAATCCTCAAATAGTATGTTCCAGGAAAAAAATCATTGCTAATATTCTTGTAATAATTCTCAGATGATTTTCGTCCGGCTAACTATTAATGTATTTTCATTCGTAATAATCATTTTATTGTGTTTTTTTTCAAATATTTGTTTAGTATGACACTCACCAAATAAAAATCACTAAATCTAATCGGTATATACTTTAATGAGTTTAAATATTAATTAGTTTTTCTTCAATATATCAGTGAAATTTCTAAATAGTTCTGGAATTCTGTCCCCAGTTAGCGTATACGGAAGAAGAGGAAAGGAAACAGTCTCGTTCATTCCTATTGAAGCCGGATTTTTAAATTAGTAGCTTAATCCAAAGAAATATCAGATTACAAATCAGCTTCATATACTGGCAAATCTTTTGTTCCATTGTGTCGTTGTCCGATTCTTCCACGGATATATACACTTACTACATGTGAACTCAATCAGCTACATAAGTGAAAAACCAGGAGTGAGTCAAAAGCTTTTATTGGCTAACCGAATTGAATCTACATATACAACTCATTCGTAAATATAAATACATATCCATCGGAAAATAAAGACAGATTTTCAGCCAGTAGTGTAAGTCTGTTTTCCCATGAAGTTAAACCAAATCCTGATCAATCTATGACCTGCTAACAGTGATTTCCCCCGTACATCAAAATGATTTATTTATTTATTTATCTTAACACACAGATATTGGTACAAGGAAGCACCAAATATATATGCGCCACATAAATTTCATTTGATATGTGCGAGGGCTGTGATACTGACCGGGTGCCCAAATCGAAGCAGGTGGTTTTCTTAGGGGCTACACCCGAAGCCTTCGACCTGAAGGTCTGATCCAAAAGGCAGTGGAGCATCGTAAGGAGATGCAGTCCCATGGTAGCCAATGTCCAACGATTGGTTCATACGCCATTTGTTCCTTCAGAATCCTGGAGCCCATGTGCACTGTTGGTTTGGAATTGTGGTTTTCCAACTTCCCTAGGTGGACTCTGCATGTCCACCAACCCGGTTAAAGAGCCGGACATTCGCTTTTCGTCCTCTCAGTTTTGTAAACAACACCGGTGCCACGAGAAGGCAGTGAGTAGGACTTCCTTGGCAGATGCTATATACGCGTGGCCATGTGAGAGCATTTCGAGAGGGAGAGCGGACTCTCCCCACTCTAAGCCGTACCAGGGCATTTGGAATGAATAACATCTTCCCAAAAAACAAACGCTAAACGTAGTGAAAATACATATTGACCTCATTAAAATAAATAACATTGACTCTTAGTAATTTGAAATTTCCAATTCATACTTAACAACGTAAGTCCATAAGGGAATTTTATGAAAATTACTTTAAAAAAGGAAAAAAAACACTGAATATTTAGGGTAGGTGTACGACAACCTAAACAGAAGTAAGGATTTAAATTATCTTCAATACAGATTAGTATAAGTTGATTCATTAATAAGACACCAATTATATGTTCAGGCATTAAAATGTTTACCTAATATCAAATGTTTTATTGCGTGAACCAGGACGATTGTCTAAATATGCAGCAGTCCCACGTAGTGGACCAGTTTCATCACCTTGAGTACAAATCATCATTTGACAGATATTGGCTGTTTTGTAGAAATTCTTTTTATCTGTAGTCTTCAAGGATTCTATTATGCATGGGAGATCCATAATCTGACCTTGGTAAACTTGACCATTATACCGAACAATTGTATGTCGCATATCAGGTTTGAATTCTACGGTAAAATTTTCCTGAGAAAAATTTTAAAAATATATTTACTTGTGATTTACTGAGAGAAATAACAAAAGAGATCAAACCTGCTGAGTAAATAGTAACAATGAAAAACGCGATACAAAATTGCACTGATCCGATTTATTCAACTGCAATCAGTCGGTCAGTTATAAGCTACGTACAAACCCGGATTTATGTACACCAGGTCAAGTTGCTACATTAAATTAGCGCGAGATGAAATTATCAACACAAATCCTAGGGTAGCAGAACTAGTAACATTATCAATGGCAGTAAAAATAAACGAAGACGATACGATTTTAGAAATGATGAAATACAATAGTGAAGGAGTATACGATGATTTCGAAGCTCAGTATCTAAAGGAAATTAAAGATTAGATGTATTCGTAACAATGCAAGTGCTCCTGATCTATGTCACCAAATGTCCCAAACCATTAGTAACGATAATTGAGGGGACTCTGATTCGAAAATATGCACTCATCCACACGGTTGTATCTACCAGTCAATAATTTTACGGGTTAGTCCCGCGCAGCAGTTTGTTGCTCCTTAACTTTCCTCCGACACTTCCGCACAACTTCGTCAACTGATTTGTCATACTCTGCATCTAACCTCATTATTCCTTGCCCGGCAGTCCCAGAATAAACGAGCAATGCTTTAAAACGCATCTATGACCAAATACTAGTAACCAAGGTATATTTCCCCTCTTTTTCTGGAAGTCACGTTTCGAACTGCTAACATATAACGGAGCAAACTACTGAGCAGTATACTCGTCCTTTGCTCGGAAGGTCATATCAGCTACTAAACTTCACACTAGGGCGATGAGAGCGAATAAAAATAATGAAAAGGATTGAAACCTACTGACATTAATATTATCAAAAAAAGAATACGTGCGAAAAGGTTAGCAAATTTATAAAGTAACGTGGTATTCAATAGTAAGAAGGAAATAAGGGATATTTGAGTTACCATGAATCATCATTTGACCTATCACCTTTGTGTAGAAAAATACTGTAAACAACGATAGTGCTTAATTGATGGATTCCCTACACTCCCAAACTTTATAATATCAAATTTTCGATACTGTAGTCACGATATCTTTTATGGTCGGATAGAACTACCAGAATAAATGACAACAGTAAACGTCTTACAACAAGCTCAGCTAACTTCAGTACAAACCTTAGATTTCCGCATATAATAATCGAAAATCCACCCCCAAGATGGGTTTTATAATCAGTATACTGTAGATATCATCTTATTGTTATTTATTTATTTATTTATTTAAACACATAAACATTGATACAAGGAGGCACCAAATCCATATGCGCCACATAAATCATTCGATTGTGTGAGGGTTGAGATACTGCCCAGGTGCCCAGACCGTGTGATAACAATCAATACTTTCATCACAGAGATGACCGCCGTTATTCATTAAAATAGTAGCAACGCACAAAAGTGCACCCATGTTTTGTAAGTAAAGTGCCCATATGAATAAAAAGAAATATATACGTTAACAGAGGAAACGAACGGCTCAGTTTAGTTAACGCTTTTGTTGATACAGGTTGCAAACTTGTCAGTTGACTATTGTTCTTCAACTGTTTATTGCTCAATAGTGTTTACTCAGTAGTTTATGTGTTGTAAATGTTCTTAAGATAACTAAATATAAGCATTATATATCCTTCACCCTCAACAGTTATGCCCTACTACCGTAGGTTAACAAGGAACAGAATGGTAAGCAGTACACTAGACTTATGTAATAGCTCTGAGGAACTTCCGTTTTTTTTTACCGAAAATGGAAATAGTAACGTATCACTAGTTTCAAAAATTGCTCATGTTATTCAGATATAACTATCGGATGGGTGCTACCTTCTCAAGTTTTACGTAAAGCAACAAAACAATGGTAAATACTGTATTAAGATTACACAGAATATTTGCCTGTTCCTGAACTATGATCAGTCAAAATATCCGTAGGGTCACAAGGCTTAGTTTGACTAAAGCAGAAAAATTGGAGGGACTAGAAAAAACGGTGAGACTATAATTTATGGACAACCTTTGAGCAACGCTAAAGAGACCTTGAGAATGTCCACCTACATACTAAGGCTAAATGAGGATTATCCCGACCGTAACTGCTACCTTGACGCGGTGGTCCGGCTTGCCTATCGTGATGACCTAACCGAGCTATATTGGCTGGAACATATGTTCCTGTATGTTCTACCATGCTAGGCAGGTCGATTGGAGAACGCTAAGACTAAAAGCAGCAACTCAAGGTCTGAGGGCGAAGTCGTACTGCTGACTGTAGAGCGGTATAACAGCAGTAAGGTGTTTCCCTCGGACAACCAGCAACTGCAGCGATGCTGCCTTCTCACAAGGAAGGAAGGGGTTAGAAAAGGTTGACCCTAAAAATGTCACATCTCACGGATTTCCGTTTCCGAAGGCAAGGCCCTTTGAAGAACGGAGCTAACACATTAAAAACCTGCGCAACCGGTCTCAAGCAGTTGTCCCTTGGGCTCTGCGGTCACGCTCCCAGGTCGTTAAGACCAACATTAATCCAACTTCCTTTTCAGGTTCCTTAAGTAATACCCCTCCATGGTGGGGGTAGCCCTCATACCCGTAACAGCACACGAGACCAAGTTGGTCACATTCAAATCCTTCCTACACCTCCTAATACCTCTCTTATCTCCATGACTAACCCTCCTCACGTCTCTTTATCACCTCGCACCGCTAGGGCAAACGATTCGAGTACGTGGAACGCCATTCCTGGTCTCCTGAAACCACGCTCTAAACTACACGTAGGAGCTTTTAACGTACGAACACTTTGCCAAATAGGACAGCAGGCTTCCTTAGCTAAAACTTTAGAATCTCGCGCCATCGATGTGTGCTGCGTCTCCGAAACGCGCATACAGGATCCGAGTAGCGTCATTCATTTGACCTCACCATGCCAAAATAAAGAACCGACTCGATTTACACTTCGTGTATCTGGAAGCCCTGATTCTGCTTCCCGTGGCCTCGCCGGCGTAGGTATAGCATTGAGTCCTAGGGCAGAACTAGCTCTCTTAGAGTGGATCCCAATAGACAGTCGTTTGTGCGCTGTCCGACTGAACGGAACAGTAAGAATCCGGAAAGATAGGGACACTCGTCGTTGCCTCTTCGTCGTCTCTGCCTATTCTCCCACTGACTGCAGCTCAGATGATGTAAAAGATGAGTTTTACAGAAAGCTTTCGGACCTTCTCCGAAAAGCTAGGCGCTCGGATGTAGTAATAGTGGCCGGTGACTTTAATGCTCAAGTAGGTAAACTAAGTGAAAGGGAAAGACACCTAGGTGGATCTTATGGTGTCGTGGCTCAAAGAACAGATAATGGCGACCGTCTGTTGCAGCTATGCTCAGATAACCGCCTGTTCCTTGCAAATACTAACTTTAAGCATAAGGAAAAACATCTTTTAACATGGCGACCCCCTAATTCGTCCCAACGTTGGACCCAAATAGATCACATCGCTATCAGCCACCGATGGAGGGGCTCGATAGAAGACTGTCGCTCATTCTGGAGCACATGCCTAGATTCAGATCATGCTCTAGTGCGAGCGCGTATTTGCTTGCGTCTTACTGGACGTAGGAAAGACGCTGCAAGGAAACCTCTTAGGGCCTACTTAATGATAGTCAAGCTAAGAGTATATTTCAGGAACAACTAGGAAAACAGTTAGGCAGCCATGTATGTGATGCCCACCCCGATGCAGCATGGAATGATATCCGAAAAGCTGTGGAAACAGCAGTGATATCTGCTAGTAAGGTAAACCAGAAGGTTAGGGAGCAACACTGGATCTCAGCAGCATCTATAGCACTGATAGATGCTCGGAAACTCATTCCACCTGGCTCTGAACATAATGAAGAGCGGAGTCAGCTTAAGCGCAAGCTGACAAGAAGTCTACGCAATGATCGCGAACAGTGGTGGGTAGCGAAAGCAAGAGAGATGGAAAAGGCAGCGGCAATAGGTAATAGCAGACAATTGTTCAGACTCGTTAAGGAAACCGGAATTAGGAACCCGACCGTTAGCGAAACAATCTCAGAGAAAGATGGACATATTATTCATTCTCAATCCAGGAGATTGGATCGATGGGCAGAACACTTTAGGGATCAGTTCAACTGGCCTTCAGCCACACTTCGGTTTCCCACGATCTCCAGTCAACCTGAATGGCAAGTTAATGTAGGTCCTCCGTCCCTTTACGAAGTTGAAAAAGCCATAGGAAATCTGAAACGAGGGAGAGCAGCAGGCCCTGACAGGTTTACTCCTGAGATTTTTAAGGATGGTGGTCCAGTATTAGCAATGAGATTAACCGAGGTCTTAGGTAGAATTTGGGAACTGGACGTAATCCCATCTGACTGGTCTCAATCACTGATTGTGCCAGTCTATAAGAAAGGACAAAAGTCCTCTTGTGACAATCACAGAGGAATCAGTTTGACTAATATAGTGTCTAAAATATTAGCTTCAATAATACTTCGACGCCTAACAAAGCTCGTGAAGAGCAGACTAGAGAAAACCAGGCTGGTTTTCGACCTGGACGTGGTTGTATAGATCAGATATTCACACTACGTCAGGTTCTAGAACACAGACACACATTCAGACGCCCCACAATGGTAGTATTTCTCGACCTTAAGGCGGCATTCGACTTTGTTGATCGTGAGGTTCTATGGCAGTGTTTGTCACTGAAAGGAGTACCAAAGAAGTACATTAACCTTATAAAGGCTCTCTACTCGAACACAACTGGTAGAGTGAGAGCTTATGGCGAACTGTCATCAGAATTGATTACCTCAAGTGGTGTTCGTCAGGGCTGTCCACTCTCCATTCTTGTTCAACTTTGTCATTGACGTACTTTTAGAGATAACACTTTCCTCATCTAAATTTCTAGGGGTTGAACTTCTACCGGGAGGTTCACTTGTTGACTTAGAATATGCCGATGACATAGTTTTGTTTGGTGAAGACGCTGACAAAATGCAGAGTCTTCTGACCACTCTAAGCAACAATGCAAGCATGTTCGGGATGCGATTCTCCCCCTCGAAATGCAAAATGTTGCTTCAGGATTGGGTTACATCGACACCCGAACTAGTGATAGGGAGTGAAGTAATTGAGTGTGTCGACCGCTTCACTTATCTTGGAAGTCTCATCAGCCCTTGTGGTCTGGTGTGTGACGAAATCTCAGCACGGATACAGAAGGCTCGACTAGCTTTTGCCAACTTGCGTCATTTATGGCGTAGGCGAGATATCCGTCTATCAACCAAAGGACGGGTTTACTGCGCAGCAGTTCGTTCCGTCCTACTTTATGGCAGTGAAACATGGCCGGTAAGAGTAGAGGATATTCGTAGGTTACTAGTATTTGATCATAGGTGTCTTCGAAACATTGCTCGTATATGCTGGGACCATCGAGTAAGTAACGCAGTTGTTAGGAAATGAGTACTAGGTAAGGATGGCAAATCTATTGATGGAGTAGTGAAACCTCATCATTTGAAATGGCTGGGACATGCGATAATTATGCTGAAACATCGACTGCCTCGACGTGCTATGCTCAGTGGTATAGGAGTAGGTTGGAAGAAAGATAGGGGCGGCTAGACCAATACATGACACGAATCCATGAAGTCATTGACAAGTGGACTGAGTCATGTTCGTAGGTGTAGACTACCTGGTTGGGATCCACGAGATGATAGCAACCGATGGTAAGAGACCTTGAATGGTATGGCTCAAAATAGTTTACAATGGTGCAGGTGCATCCACAATTTGTGTTCTCCTAAATTCTAATATACTGAATTCTTCATGTCCTTTAATTTCTTTCCAAGTTTATTTCACTGGATTATACTCCCTGAATAACATATACCAACCTTAATATTTCCAATTAGTGCTTATAATCTTACTAGTTCTACCACTACAGGATTTGAATGTACAACTGCATCTCTGTGATAACGTGGTATGGCAACTAGAACTGATGCACGAACGTATGAAGATCCACGTTGTTACTGACGGACTGACTGAAATGAGGATTATAAACCAGCTTGAGGATTTAGGACTAATATTTACAATTGATGGTTAGGGTTAAGAATCAGATATAGATTTTCCATCACCAACTGACATCAGCTATAAAGCCAAAACTCTATTTAGCCAAATGGATGAGTGAATTTTGCGCCAAAACTCAAGATCCGTTATCTAAGATCTGATTGGTTCGTCCATCAATTATAGTCTCGCCGAGAAAAGTTTTTCATTGAAAATACAGACAAAGCGGTAACCAAATATTTCGGATGAGTTGACGGTAAAATTTCAGAGTTCGGTTCCATAAATGGATTGTACAGTGGCCCGCCCGATGACCACTTCCTTAGAAATATTCTTGCCAAATACAAGGATTATAATCCAGACAAGTCCTCATATATGAGGACTTGTCTGGTGAAAACGCAAAATGTAGGCAACAACTTTCGAATAATTTAATACGAAACGAGAGCATAAAATATAGGAAAAACAAACAAGAAACCTAAGGAATGTGATAGAACGACTCCAAATGTTATTCACGGTAAACCACTCACATACATGAGTGGCGATATCATCATAACATACAGATATAGCAATCAAACGAATAGTGCAGAAATTCGGATCTAGTAAGATATTAAAAGGAGTATAAAGGCTAGAATAAAAAGCCAAAATAACCATCCACAAACATTTGCAAATGTTTGTGGATAAGATTTTAAAAAATTAATAAGCAATTTTTCAACAAACCTTGAAAGGTATGCCAGCATCGATATCGGCTGCCAGATTTTGAGCAGCAACTGTGTCTGTCATCCGAAGGATGAACTGTTGTTCTAAATCATAGTTAGTATCTAAAGGCAGTTTTGCATTCATCCTTGGGATGTAGCCGATATATTATACAGCGCTCTCTACATTCAATATCCAATACTGTAGCGCGAGCGTCTTAAGGTGCATAACAGTAAATGAACCTCAAAAATAAATATTTCAGTGAGTCTTCAGCATAATGGCTCGTTTTAGTAGTTTTATTGGACACACCCTGGCTGAAAACACTTGGTCAAGTGTTCAGACCTGACGACCACTTTTTACGCGATGTTACTTAATCATTGGGACTACTAGCCAGCTTGTGTAAGACACTTCTCAGCATTTCGCCAAACTTCCACATGCATTTTTGAACTCATTCCTCCCTGATTTATGGTTTGGTGGGTTGGTATCCTACGATTTTAAACGCGTTACAAATAAAAGCCTTATCAAAGCCCAAATGTCTAAAACATCTTTACAAGCTACTTTGTTTACAGGCCTTAAGATCTGGGTAAAATTCAACAGAATACAAATGCAAATCGTTTCTCCGGAAAAACCACGGTGTAAATTCTAGCAAATCGAATATCTTTTAGTAACATGCCGGTTTCTTGATCTTAAAATGAAGTCACCGTGCGTCGTCTCTGATTTCTCTCATTTCCTAAGCAGATTCTTTTAAGACCATGATTTCTTCATGGAACTTCGAACACTATGTAGTTTGTTAACTGTCCTCACCGGATGGGTTTCTTTTTAACGTAATTCTCGTGGCTTTAAATGTACTCTATGAGATTTCTTACTGTATGAATTGAAAGTCTGCTTCACTCCTGATTGTACCCGAGCAATATTATGATATCTCAGCATATTCCGTCTAAGCTTTAAGACCACGTATGATACTGATTGGTTATCTTTTAGCTTAGGGACGAGGAATCCGGTAAGCCAGGTGTTTTTGCGCGCATATTGACGCTGATCTTTTGTGTCTTTATTTATCACCTATTAACAGCCTTTTTTTCCGTCACACGTCAATTTTCGTAATGTTTGTGCTTGGTACATAGCTTTTACTCCAGTTTATTGGTAGTTTGACGTATTTATTGCTCACAACCTGAGTGAATGTTTGGTCAGTCTAATGTGGTTATTTGTAACAATACCAACTCAAGCATGTAAAACTCATCATTTTTCAAGTAAAAAAATTGATTACAAATTGAGTTTTCCGGACAATATGCTTTAAAACCTTTAACATCTGGTTCACCTTGATTATGGTGATGATGAACATGGATGTTGGTAGTTGTTTATGAAATGTAGGTAGAAGCAATTAAGCGTTAATCTATTTATGAATATTATATAACTCGCTAATTCTTAGCCATAAACAGCCATATCCACTATGAGTATCATCGTTTTGTACTGAAAGGACATATTATTATGTAACGCATCTGAGAAGAATTATGTGAGTAGCAGTTGACGTTGATAGTCTTTTCCATCTGCTTTCTGAACGTATGGCGGAAAAGTGTATAGCACCACTGGAAGTGCCACATAAAGTAGTCACAAAGTAGTCATAAGTAAAACGATGTGTGTTTCTTTTGAGCATGGTGACAAAACCATTTTGTAGTTAATACTGATTTATGATGTGTCTGTTGTACGGTTTACGAATAAGTTTCTGTAAACAGAATCCGCAATCACTGACCAAATTATGAACAAAGTTATAATGCATATTGTCGAGTTATATCTAAATAGTGCTTGCCAATTTTTTTGTTGATATCAAATGTCTAGGTGAAATAGTAGAATTGTTGGAAAATGAAGAGCGCTGTTTACATGAAATAAGAAACTTATAGGTTATTTGTAGCATGCTAGTGAGGTCAAAAATAGACTGAAATCAGAGTTTTACGCAGAAGTGAACCGTAAAACGAATAACATTTCATTCACTTTCGTAATGATGGTAGTATCGAACTTGGATGTTCATAGCTGCCTGTAAAATATAGGTTGAAGCAAGGAACTGTGTATAACATTACTATAAGTGCCACATTAATGAGTCACATTTTCTTCATAAGTGGAACAAGTGTGCATGTTGTGAGCATAGTAAATAGAGCAAGTTGTAATTAACACTAATTTATGATGTGTCTGTTATAAAGATTACTAATTAATTTCTATTAATGAAATCCGAAATCTCTAATGAATAGCACTACTTACAAGAGACTTATAGGTACATTCTGTTACCTGCTGTTTGATTGACTTATTGAATTTGATGCCGATAACAAAGTCTAATGGTTTGTCTCAAGACCGATTTGTTGTTTTTCGGAATTGTATGAAGCTCATGGAAGATCATGTGGAAAACCAGTTTACAAGTTTACGATAACTGTGTTTAATATTGCCTACTGCCATGTTCATTCATCTAATGAATTATGTAAATATAATCCACAGCGGCCTGCTTGAGCATCTGGGCTACCTGTTCCTGCCATCTGGATGTTTCAACAAGTGATCTATTTTTGTTTGTTTTAATATATGATTATGTTTATTAATCGCATAACCTATTCTGCTGCGTTTCTGAAAAGTGTACAACCTTTCGTTGTCAAAGTTACAAAACACTCAATAAGAGACTATGTGATTGCTGGCAATATACAACGAAAAGAATGTACATTTGTGGAGATAGACCTGACAAGCTTATTTTGTAAATAGTTTTTAATATTATTTGTATTTATTTTGTCAATTTCCCACTGCATGTACATTTATCATTAAATGATTGTACCTGTTGTTTAAGTCATTGACCTTGAACACACTTTCCGTTGAGCTACTACATAGCGTGATATATGCTTGCCGACTAACAAATACATTACTACTCTCGCATTCCTCGTTCTATTTCCATTTGTGATTGAGTTAACGGAAGTCTAAATCAAATACTATCTACATTTATAGACTGTAATCGGAATATATCACATCCTACGTTGGACTATATCGCTAGAGAGTTCGCCAACCTGCTCAGAGTCATCAAGCATTTATAATTGTGGATTTACATTACTGGACCTAATCAGAACACGCAACGTTTGGGCAATTTAAGTAACGTCCCTAATTTTTATTGTATTTGTAACAGTTAACTGTATATATATTAATATTACTATTTATCTTTAGTAACTTTGTTTATACTTTTTGCGTTCATATTTGTCTGGTCCACCACAATTATTTGGTGAGCCTCGGTTTTTTTTTATAGACATTTACTATATATATCTACATATTATTATTATTATTACTTCGCACGACACCATTTTTTTTGTTTATGTCATTATGAACTCTCCGGGTAAACTTATCGATATAGATAGTTCACCGACCAACCTTCTAAACTCTCCACAACCAGAGGATAATGCTTTGAACTCGATCAACGCTATCTCAGAGTTAAGATTACCAACGTACTGTATTAATAATCCCAGAGTCTGGTTTGCTCAAATTGAAGCTTTATTCATGGCTAGAGGCATAAGATCCCAGGCATCAAAGTATGCATACGTAGTCGGCGCACTTCCTATCGAGATTGCCGCTGAAGTTGGTGATTTAATCGATCACGTGCCAGAATCTGAACCATATGATAAGATAAAAGCAGCAGTTATTCAACGCACCACGGTCTCAGATGAGAAAAGGCTACAACAGTTGTTAACATCTTGTGACTTGGGTGATAAAAGACCCTCGCAACTTCTCCGCCACATGAAACAACTCGCCGGTCCATACAAGCTAGACGAAGCCCTCCTAAAGCAAATGTGGTTTCAAAGATTACCACACAGCGTTCGACAAATTCTCAGTGTTTCAGGGAAATCCGTCGCACTTGATGACTTAGCCGACATGGCAGATAAAATGATGGAAGTATACCACGACAATCACTGTGTGAACTCATTGCAACCACCTGGATCAACAGATATTAGCTGTTTAGCCTCCTTTCAAAAGCAGTTAACACAATTAACGAGCCAGCTGGCGTCACTTCAATCGACCATAGCAACCATCCAAACTAGACAATCGAGATCCCCCTCCAGACGAAGATCTTTTTCTAGACAACGGTCTCGGTCACCGAAGCGAACATCTGATGTTTGTTGGTACCACCAAAAATACGGCACCAAAGCACGGCGTTGTACACGACCGTGCACATTTTCTGCGTCTGACACAGAAAATCAGGGAAACGACCCGGCCAGACAGTGATGGCGGCGCCTGTTTCTGGCCACTACCCGAGCCGTCTATTTCATGTCAGGGATCGAATTTCGGGCTCAGATTTTTTGGTCGATACAGGAGCCGAAATCAGCATTATCCCATTACACCTCTCTCAACGACGGCACCCTCAGAGTACTAAATTGTCTCTAGTCGCAGCCAATAACACAGTCATTAAAACTTATGGCGAACAATCACTTATTTTAGATCTCGGTCTCCGGAGACGTTTCACATGGGTTTTCATCGTAGCTGAAATCAAACAACCCATTATCGGGGCCGATTTTCTCGGTGCTTACAACCTACTTGTAGATATGGCAAAAAAGAAACTAATCGACAAAAACACAAGCTTACAGGTCAGTGGCACAACTCTCTCCAGTTACGAAATTCATGGAGTCCGAATGTTAAGACCTGAAAACAAAATTTTCACCGATATCCTGTCGAAGTATGAAAGTATAACCAGAGCTGATTACCAAAACGAATGCTCCACACATCATGTCCAACACAGTATTACTACTACAGGACCACCTATTCGCGCCAGGGCGAGAAGACTCCATCCAAACAAGTTGCAGTTCGCTAAGAGAGAATTCGAACATATGATGCAACTTGGGATAATCAGACAATCTAACAGTCCTTGGGCCTCGCCGCTGCATATGGTTCCCAAGAAAGATCAAGACTGGCGCCCATGTGGAGATTATCGCCGATTGAATAACCAGACTATCCCAGACCGGTATCCGATCCCTCACCTGCATGATTTTTCTTTAAATCTACATGGAAAGCAGATTTTTTCAAAGTTAGATCTAGTCCGAGCATACCACCAAATACCGATGGCACCTGAGGATATCGAGAAAACAGCTGTAATCACACCTTTTGGCTTGTTTGAATTCTTGAGGATGCCTTTCGGACTA